GAGATGGCTTTGATCTTGGAGGGGTCTTTCCTGATTCCATCACTGTCAATGATTTGGCCCAAGTATTGCAACCTGGATTGAGAAAATAAACACTTCTCAAGGTTGAGTGTTAGTTTCCTCTCGACTAGCCTGTCAAGGACTTGCTTAAGTCGTTTGTCATGTTCCGCTTGGTCTTTCCCGATGATTAGAATATCATCCATGCGGCACTTGACCCCTTCTATTCCAGAGATCAGAGTTCTTTGTCCATCCTCTTTTGGAAATGTTCTGGGGCTGAGGATATGCCGAAGGGAAGACGCTTGAACATGTAACGACCGAAGGGCGTGATAAAGGTAGTTAGCTTGGCACTTTCTGGGTTTAGAACTATCTGATGAAACCCTGAGTTGGCATCAAGTTTGGAGAATACTGAGCCTTCTGTTAGGCTTCCCAGGGTCTCTTCAACTGTTGGCATTTGATAGACTTCTCGGCGGACCGCTTGGTTAAGCCTGGTAAGATCAACACATATCCGCACCCTGCCATCGGCCTTTGGCACTACCACAATCGGTGAACACCATTCTGTCGGCTCATCCTCTGGTTCAATAACGTCCAGTTGTTCCATACGGTTGATCTCCTCTTGCACTTGCTTCATTAGTGGCAGTGGTACTCGCCTGGGAGTGGTCAAACAAAAGGGTGTGGCCCCTTCCTTCAATTGAATTGTATGCTCACCCTCCAATTTGCCAAGGCCTTGAAAAAGTGATGGGTACTGCTTGACAATGTCCTCCTTGGTCCCTGATTGGAGTGGATGGCTATCAGGCATTTGATGGACAGCTTTAACACTGTATGTCCCAGGGATTTCATGGATAAGACCAAGACTTCGGATGGCGGGTATCCCCAGAAGCAACTTGGATGCCCCACTGACTACGTACACTCGTTCTTTAATGACTGTTTCGTCTTGTTGGAGGTTCATGACTGCACATCCAAGGGTCTTTAAAGGAACATCCCCTGCTCCGACAAGTTCTCTGTCAGATTTTGAAAGTGTTCCATATGAAGACTTGTAGATGTGCTCAAGCATCACAGACACTTGTGCTCCTGTGTCGATGCACCATGCCAGCGTCTCTTGGTCTTGAATCTTGAGGTTGACATGCCATCCAGGGTCGGACCTACTGGTTTGAGAGTTTACTGCTGGTTCGGCCTTGGAGGTGTTTGGACTAGTGGGTGTGTAAACCCCTCCCACAAATGTGAGGCTAAAGTTATCCTCGGGTTCAAGAACTTCGTTGACCGTCTTTGGAGGTACACTCTTGCATATGATAGGGAAATGTCCCATTTTGTTGCACTTGCTGCATCGTGTATCTGCCGCTGGGCAGTTCTTCTTTCCAGGGGGGTGTCGGCGGTTGCAATACCCACAGTTCCGGCCACTTGTTTGGAAGGGCTTCCTCTTGAAGTCTCGCTGGTTCCTTTGCTCTGTATCTTGACCAGCATGAGGGTCTTGCCTGTTCCCTCGCGGTGTGACGCTCTCAATCTCTGCGGTTTTTGATTCGTGTAACTCACGTTTTGTTGCTTCCTTCAGAGACAGGATTTTCACTGCCTTTTCGAGTGAAAGGGCTGCTCCCTCGTCATAGAGTTTTAGCTTGTAATTGTCTTCCTTGCAGGAAAAGGTAAGTTTGTCTCTAACTGCTTGCTCATAGAAATCGGTTGGGAACTTGCACTCGGCGGCTCTTTCCTTGACAGTCACCACCCACGAATCAAAGGTCTGTGTGGGCTCTCGTTTAAGGTGAAGCCAAAATTTCTCTCGCAGCATGAGTTGAGGGTCCCGTAGGTCGGTCGGAGTCTTCGGCTGGAAGTTTCTCTTCTCCTCCCGCGGGGTCGTCACGCTCAGGTAGGTAGGTGAAAGTCGAGTAAATTTCCAAACACGGCTCGCCGATGTGGTTTAATAGCAGCCCCACTTTCATTTCATCGGGTTTCTTTGAAGCTCCAATTGCCTTGAGGTAAATTTCGAATTTTTGTTTCCATTTTCCCCACGAGTGAGCAGGATTTCCCATCGAAATTTCCAGCGGTTCCGGTGGTTTGGCGAATGGCATGCTTTCCGCCATCTTGTTTTGAACCACGTGCGTAGGATCCGCGTGAAGTTTGACCGGTCAATTCGTCTCAGTATTTGAGCCGTTTCTCCGATTGGTTTGATCTCCGCAACTGTAGGCTAGTAGGAAGGTCACGCTTCTGACACCATGTTGAGTCCGAAGAGGTACAGAGACGACAGCATCAACACAACATACTTTAATACGATAGATTCATACAGCTCTCACGAATGACAGCGCTACCGCCGGTCAGCGGTCAGTTAGTACTTCATGTTACTACAGGTAGGGGATAGGGATTAAGAGAAAAAGGGAGGGAGATAGCCTCCCCGCAGACGTCCGTTGGGGTTCGTTTGTCACGCATTCATTTCTCCCCCATGGGGGAGAAATGAATGCGTGACAAACGAACCCCAACGGACGTCTGCGGGGAGGCTAGGAGGGAGACGCACTGGCTAACAAGTGTACTGAAGGAAAACTGCAATCAATTTTAAAACCAAGCTGAGAAGACGTCTTAGCAACGAATTTTCCATGTTGTAACTCTTTCGGGACAACTACCAATGTATTGGCTTATTAGTCTAAAACGAAACCCACTGCAAGTACAGTGTTAAAGGTGTGATACTCTGTTATACCATTATTGCATTGGGTGTAAAGAGTATAATTAATATGGCTTTCAACTATTAAGAATCAATTGAGGGTATAGTAATGGTTTATAATGGACACTAGACACTCTATTATTTTTCAAGATTAAGATGCTTCTGAGGGTTTAAAAATAAAAAGAAATTAAGTTCATCACGGGTCAGTTTGTTAGGTCCGTCTAGTGAGTTATCTTAAGTTGATCGATAAGTTGTCAGAGCTAATGTAGTGTATTGTGTTACACTAAAGAACTGGATTAAGACACTTAATAATCGCATTATATTAATACTATGGATGAACGAGGCAGGCCAACATTGAATAAAAGCCTCGGCGGGAAGCCGTTGGTTATATAAAGGGATGTTCAGTGAGCAGGTGCATACAGCTAAAATATGCTTCAGTACGAGGACACACTGACTTGAAACCACCGGCAACATTTGAATGTCTTCAGCGCAAGAAGCAGGTACTTATCTCTAACAATGCTGGACTGTTCAAAAATTTTGGTGCTAGTATTTTTTTTTCTACTTTAAGAAAACCTCTTCTTTGAACTGTCCCCTCACATTCTAAGACTTGCTTTTGTTTGCTGAATTGTGTACTGTGTTTTAACAAGTTATATGCTAATCACCAAGAATTCCCATCCATTACCACTCTGCACCGAAAATGATTGCAATTTCAAACACCAGCGTTACAATGTTAGCACTATTGAGAACTAAGTCAGTGAAAGGACCTTGACAAACTAAGACAACGCTTTTTAATAAACATTTCCAAGTTTTCTTAATCATCTGGGCTAAGTGGATTAAGTGAATCAAACATGAAATTAAAATGAAGGTGAATGAAGAAGTACTCTCTGCTTTGATTTTACACTTTTTTTGCTACGCAGATCTACTCTGGAAAATTAAGTAATTGCTCAAAATTAGTGACAAAACAGAACCCTATTTAGTTACTAGTACAACTGTCAAAGTATCAAAACATCTCAGGGTCAAAATACGTTCATTTCAACATTAAAAATTTGGTTCTTTAAGGTGCTATAGCCGCATTATCTCGCTCAGTATCCATGCATTTCCGCTATCACGAAGTAATCTCGTTAATTGAACAGCATGATTAAAGTATCTTAACAAAAAAGTCATCACTACAGAATGGTCTAAAAGCAAAGATAGACTCTGCTGACTGAGAATTTTTGTGGAATGAGCTATTCATCTTTTCGAACATCGAAATTCGATGGACGGCCCTCTCGTACTAAACTGAATAATTGAATCTGTCTTTTCAAGTTCAATGATAAAAAGACGCCCGACGGGGACACCAGTTTCAATTCTTTTGGAGTTGAAATTTTCAAAAACAATTTTTTGTTTTTGTTTTCAGGCTAGGAGAAATTGATCGATGACAAATTCAGAGCGGGTAATAATAATAATTAACCTTGATGTCGGCAATTCTAAAGGTGCAAAATTACGCACTGCAAAAATATTAAATATCTTTTTTCATATTTGCGAGCGAAAATGATATTAAACTCTAAAAACGGCGTTTTCTTTTATTATTATTGACATACATGGACAATTTATTTTCCTGAGAAATTCAAATAGTAATTATCAATTTGAACGGCCAAGTCTAAAATAGAAAAAACCCGGTAATTTTCATTTGGATTAAAAATTCTAATTGGGTAATCTTCCCTCTTCTTCAAAAGACGATTATCTTAAGTTAAAAAAACTCAATTGAATTGAAAAAAAGGAAGTTAGTGTTGTGCTGATCTTTCATTTCCGGCGATCGTAACAGCTGCCCGGTACATGGGCTCGCTGCCGGATTTTTCAGTCGGAACTGACAAAAATGGCCTGACGAGCAGACGCCTCTTTACTTTGCATCCTTCGTAGAAAAATAGAAATGGAAAATAAAGAAACGCAACGGAAGTTGACGTACACCAAACCAACTGATTATCGTTTTCTAAAGAACATTCCTAATCATGTGGATTGAATTGCATTAACGATTCAATGAAATTCATAGTGATTTCAAAGTACAACACTAAAATTTTACGGAGTTTCATTTCGTTACCGACAAAACGCACTGCTAAGGGCTGGTACAAAATGAATTTTTCTCGAAGAGAAGTAAGATGGAACTAAGATTGTTAATGTAGTCCAAATAATATAAGGTGGTAACCGATTTGCCAAAATAATCGCTTATCATCCGTTGGTTTCAATCTTACCATTTTCTCTGCGTCGCTGTAGTCAAGACCACGTCTCAGGAATAACTAGACAGTAATCTTAGGAGAGGGAATTAACGATATATCACTCTACTTCTCAACATCCTGTAGGTCTGATCTATGATACTGGCTTAGCAATGAAGGTTTGGAGAAAAGAAATTCTCACCTCGCTAGCCCTTTTAACAACAATTCAAGCTTGTTATGCCGTCGCTGTTATAGAGAAGCTATCAGAACATCGGGCTGTGCAGGATCTCAGAGGTAGGTTAACTCAGTATACGTAGCTGTTAACACTGACCGACAGTCATGAACAGCAAAGACAAAACTACAAGACTAGAAATATGCGACATCAGAAAAATGTTTATTTGTAATTGCTACGTGACACCTGTCAAGAAACCTTAACTTGACCGAACTTATGCCAATATAAAAAACCCCAAGATTCATCACTTATACTGACACAATAAATACACTGACATCTAACAGAGCAAAAAGTTTAAAAGAGGAAGGAATTATTTTTAATTAATGGATTTCGTTTTGTTTTGTACTCAGTCACTTGTAGCAATTTTCATCTGTAGATAGACCTTTTTTGGTCAAGGTAAAAAAATACGCCACTTTTAAAAGGAAAAGGATACAAAACATCACGCACAGAAAGAAAACATGACTTGGCGACCTCATGTTTTGTAGGCGAAAGAACAAACTGAATCGTCTCAGAAAAAAGAATTAGAGCAGCTAATATAGTTTTTAAAATCAGGTTTGGCCGGATTCTGCTTTATAACATTCCTTTGCCTTCTTATCTCCACGGACTTCTCTTAAAAGTAATCTTCCTAGTCTCTTAGCAGGTGGATGAAACTCCCCTCATGGCGGCGCTTCTTTCTTTCTTAGTTTCCGCTTATGTTGTTTTTATACGCTTGGTTATCTTAAAAGCTACAAAAGTGATGAACAAAATGACGTATTATTTATCTTTTCATTTAAGATATTAAGCCATGCGGAAGAAGACACTCTTCTCCAATAAGACAAAATTATATGAGGAGCAAGATGCTTATTAGACCTCATGAGCTTAGAAAGCGGATTGTTGGAGGCCATGCCAGCGGTGATGCGGCATGGCCATGGCAGGTAGCATTGTTCTTAGATGGGTCGCAAGTGTGCGGTGGATCACTCATCTCTGAAGAATGGGTCCTAACTGCATGCCATTGTTTTACAGGTATGAAATCAGGTCTTTGCGCATGTCACCTTGACTAAATGAGTGTATTAAAGAAACATGCACATAAACGTCTTTTCTGGAGAGTTGCAACAGGTATGTAATCGTGCATCGTTCAAAGCAGTAGATGGTAGCGGTGCAGGTGGGAAGTGATTGTAATCGCACGCCGACATTAATTAGGTTAAAGCAAATTCTCAGTTCAGTTGTCTTTGAACATTAGTGAGCTTACGTGACAGGACGGCAGAGAGAAAAGGACGGCAAAACGTTTGTGTGTGACAAACGTGACAGGGCTATATAGTGTGTTTTGTTGTGGTCTTTTACTCAACCTTACTGTGTTTTGGTCTTTCACAAAAACTAGAGATCTGTTTAAAGGAATGTGTAGTTTGGCGGAGATATTATATTACATAATTATTGTCAACACCTGTCACACAGGTTTTGCCGTCTTCTTTCCCGCGCCGTCCTTTTGCGTAAGTTTATTATTAGTGTTCTAGCGACGAGTAATCATGATTGTGCTCCTCAGATTACCGCTCGTCAAAGGATCCATCTCGCTGGAAGGTTAAACTTGGTTCACATCAAACTGTACAGAAGACGAGAAGATTTGAACAAGTAAGAGGAGTCAACAAGATCATCATGCACCCGAGGTATTATGGGAAAACTGAAGATGGGGTTCTTGTTCAGCCGCCAGATTATGACGTAGGTTAGTAACATGTTCACGGGCATATGAATAACTTACGACATGTAAATGATAGTGGCATGTAACTTTAAAAGACACGTTCTCTTTCGAATACTTCATGTTTACAGACTAACAAGTTTAACAGAAAACACATGCTATACATGGATAATGGTCATAACATGGTTGTTCCTCTTTTAAAAACATGACGACATCATAGTAACATCATAGTAACATTTTAAATTCTAAAATCATTGTATAGTATGTGCAGTTGGATTTAGAGAAATCACTTCGCAAGAAACTTTCTTATACTGTGTAAATGCACGGAAATGCCTCTGGTTTCATTCGAAACAAAAGAGATTTCATGTCGAGGGCAGCCAATGACGGTTTCCTCCTAAATGTACTGAAAATTCTTTTTAGGCTATCCGGAGTACTTTTAGATCTTTAGAAATGAATTTTTAGCGGCGCTTTAAAATTTGTTTCTGTTCGGTGTATCCTATAAGGGGAACTTGAGCCTTTTCGAGATTACAAGGGCTTCAGTATTATTTTCTCCAAAATTTTAGATGCCACTTAACGTTTTATGAAAGTGAGATTTTTATTAATTCTCTCCCCATCACATTTTTGAATCTGAAAATTTCAGGTTTCCTTTTTGTACGAAAATTATCCTAACATAGGGAGTAAAATGTGAGTGAAATTAAACTTCAGAAAATCGTAGGGAAGTTATTAGATAAGCTTTAGAAAATTCTAGGCAATATTTGCTTTTCCGAAAAGATAGTCAAAGAAAACAGTTTGCGGGAGTTTATTTGTGGATTGGCGTTTTTTGTGTGTTTTGCGGCAACTATTTTTTTGCGATTAGGACAGATTGGTCTTCCTTGCTGAAAATTAATTTTTGCGATTTTCAGGAAGTACCCAGTACCGAGCATTGAGAATATTTTCGTTTTTATTGAGTACGTGCAATAGATATACATATGTTCAAACAATAAACCAGTATTTCGTTGTATACCGTTTTGTTTCTGAATGAAAGAGACAAGTTCTGATTGAACAGACACGATTTCTTTGTACTTTATTGCGGGAAAAATGTTTGTGGTAATTTGTATTTGCGGGAACCTATTTTTGCGGATCGCTGGAAAAATTGCAAAAATCGCAAAAAAATTCGTGCCACACGGTAAGTATCAATATTACATCTTCTTTTAGGATAAAGAAAGTAACAATATGAGTATTGTGTCACTCTTTCAGCTCTTCTTCGACTTTCAAACCCAGTCAGATATGATAGTCACGTGCTTCCAATTTGCCTAGCAACCGATAGAATGGAATTCCGGTATGGGAAGATTTGCTACATAACTGGCTGGGGAACAATTGGATGGAACAAGCCGCGATCTAAACTTTTACAACAAGCTCCAATCCCTTTAGTATCGAGAGATGAATGCAATGAAAAGAAATCATACAACGGAACAGTTCCCCAAACGGCCTTATGCGCAGGCTTTAAAGATGGTAGGGTTGACGCATGCCAAAAGGATAGTGGTGGACCGCTGGCTTGTGAACATGGCGGGCGCTGGTATCTCGTGGGTGTGGTATCGTGGGGGAAAAGATGCGCGTTGCCGGATAAGTACGGTGTTTATGCCGACGTACGAGTTTTACATGCGTGGATTACAAACATTGTAGGAAATGACTGACATACGATTAGGTGAACACTGTTTTTTAAGTTATACATCCGAGACTCTAATTAGAGGTACGGAAGCGTCGAATGTTACTTTAAGTTTCCTGTTTGTAGCTAACCTATCTCTGTGATAACCTCTTATATACAAAATGACCACAAGAACAATCATTCCAACAATTAGAACACTGACTATGATAACTGACACCTGCCAATCCTTATCTTTCCGTGTTTCCTGCTTTTCGTGCGTTGTATTATTTGAGTTGTTGTTAAGGTTGGTAGGCCTGTGGTCTGCCGTGGCGTGCGTCATGTCTAAGATTGTATGCGACGCCAATTCTGACATTGTCTTGGTTATGAATGTCTTGAATTTGTCTCTATTTGGTGAATTTTCCGACATGTTTTCTTTTGATAAAAAACGCATGGTGAAAGTTTCAAGGCTTCTGTCTCTTGTAGTGATCAGTGTTTCTACTAAAAGTGTCGATGTCATTGCTCCAGGTGTTGTCTGTCTTTCAACTGCATTCACACTTGATGCTGACGTCATAATTTTGACAGACTGTATTGAGGCGTAAATAGTGCCTGTGAATATGGAAAAAGGTTACATCATGACCAAAAGAGTCACTAACTTGCCAGTGCAGGCTCAGGCTCGGCTCAGGCTCGGGCCTCACTTTTTCAGAGACTTCTGGGATTACTACTAGGGGCAGAAAAAAAAATCCCAAATATATTAGGGACCTTACAAAACTACGACGGCGACGGCAAGGAGAACGTCAAAAAAGCAGTAGGTTTAATGAGCACAACAACAACTCTGCACGTACGTCACGCTTTTTTGTTCATTTCTTTGCTGTCCCTGCACAATTACGACGTGAAATGACCAAATTTTAATTTTACTTGAGAACGGGAACGGCAAGGCAATAAATTCTACCATCTCTGTCTGAACTCGGGCGCCGTTCCCTCTCTTCAGCTCCAACCATAATTCCCTTCTTTTAAGTAACAGGGCGAGTGGGATAATCGCGAAAAAGTTTAAAAAGATGCAAAGTCTATTTTTCAGCGTTTTCACGGACGTCGCCGTTGTCGGATCGTAACGTCCCTATTAGCGACGATTATCCATCTTGGCGTATTCCATGGCAACCCAGGTTGCAAAATGCTTCTTGTTTATTATCGTTATCTATCTATTCATCAACCCTGTTTACCCCCCGAAATTTTACATAACCTTTGTTTCCAGTTTTTCCTGGATGCATGTATAAGAGTAGTCCCAAGAGAAATCAAAGGCAATGGTTATTCAAAACTTTTGGGGGGTAAACCAGGTGCATTATGGTGTCGGTGAAAATGGTCCGCTATTTAAGCCTTAAATCCTTACCATTAAAAGATCTTGAATGGTTACATACATTTTATTTGAATATATTTTGCATGCAATGGAGTGTTTTATGTGTCTTGCGAAGTTGAAATAAAAAAAAGGATGAACTGGACTTGTTGAAAAGATAGAGGCGCTCTTGAGCTCTCAAACTTTCCAAATTGTTTTCCACTTTGTCACTGATGTTAGCGACGTCGTCTCTGCCTTTTTTTGTACCTTCGTTGTATTGAATTCAGTTGTAGTTAGGAATGAACAAACCATTTCCAGCAGTTACCTACTGCCGTACATTTTAACTTTGTTACTTGATAAGCATAACTGCATGATTAATTGCGCTACTAGGAAGAGAAGGGCAAATCTTTGACTCCTTAGCTAATTCGTGCACAGAAGCACGATTAATTCTGTAAACACTTTAGATTTACGATCTAACTTACCTAGGGAACTCGTTGCAAGCTTTGTTCGATTTACAAAGGTTGTTATTCCATGTTGGATCAGTAAGGCCATGAGGAGATAACGAAGTTTCACGGTTTTCAACACCATGATCCAATGAATAGTGTTTTTATTTTTTTCCCAAGTCGTGTGCGGTGATTTTGGTCACCCAGTCACTTGCTGGTTTAATCAATTCAGTAGGAGCTTTACGGTTCTGGATCACAAACAGTGGACATGTTAATGACCATGATCCTAAGTAATAAAAACAATCAGACTCAGGAGCCTAAAACACGCATTCATCAAGTAGTACTCTCCTTTTGTCTGGCATAAGTAACCTTACCCTAAATAACTTAACATTTCTCTCAATTTTTTTTTTCACAAGTAAAAAAAAGGAAAACAAACCTGGAATATAAGTGCTTAAAGGGAATCAATATCGATATTGCGGCCTTGCAATAAACTTGTTGACAAATGAAAGAAATTTGTAAGATTATTGTTTGCCTAAGTAAGACTTTTGTGTCACGTTCACTCGATTGGTCATTATTTTGAATGACGACAAAGCCCCTAAGCCTTTCTCCACACCTACTGTCTGAAAAGGCCGTCTGTAATGGTCAAATCCAAGCGGTTGTTAGAGTTGTTGCGGATGATATTATACTTATCATTACCTTTTAAAATTTCAAGTTTTTCTCCCCATTCGCCACTGCTGAAATAATTTAGAATGGGGCCCGTTGCCCCAATGAGAGCGAACGAAACGAGAAAAAGAAAAGGGCATTGACACTTATTCAAGTAATTAAGACTGACCAGGCTACTAAATACGTGCGTCCTGTGTTATTCCATTCACTATCGACCAAAACAAGCTTACCGACGAAACGGAAATTTTGTTGCTCTTACCAACATCAGAACAAAGACTATAAAACCAATCACTATCTATCTGGGAGTAATTTAGAAAAAAAATGTTATTGATTTGTCGTTTCCACTTCATCCCACTCGTCGCGAGGGAATTGTATAATTAGTGTTTCTCTACCCCTTACCCTCAAATGTCCCTTCGATTCGCGGGGAAACGATAATTATGTTCCTCCTCTTCCCTAGTCCCTCACCCTCGATGGAGCGAGTTTCTTAGCATCACAAAGAGAAAGAGTCGGAGAATGAACGTCCACTTCCTTCAGCCTGCTCAAAATGTTTTAAGACGTAAAAAACATTTCGAAAAAAAAACTTTCAGTTATTTATTCCGGGCGTGTGTTTTTCTATTAAATTAAATGAAATTGCCTTAAGGATCTCCGTAAGTATCCTGTATGTATGTGAGTAAATGATACTTTAGAGGAGAACCTTTTTAAAACTTCTTCCCCAATATAATGCCCCAATGATGAAATATCAAAAGGTGGATTTATCTCAGTTTTGAGTCTGTAAACGAAATCCTATAAGGTTGCCATTCAAATGAAAGGTCCTTGTCAGTAGTTCCATATGATACTATCTTTTGTTCGCATTTTACAAAATGAAATTTGCAAATTTTGTTGAATTTTGATATTTTGGTCACAGTTTGGAAGTGAAACTGTTAAACACTCAAAATCCGACAAACTGAACTCGAAGATTAAATAGGTGATTTTCTTTAAATTCCAGATCCCTCTTATTCCACGAGATTCAGAGAAAATCAAGGCAGATTCTTCAAACACATTTCGTTAAATATGCTTTTAAAAAGAAAGCGTTCTGTTGTAGACCATTAAGGCAAGGTGTTTATTAATTCGATAGTTCACCTGCTGACTCGCACACTGTGTTTTGATATCAGCCGTATGGAAATTAGGTTCAGATTCATAGACGCTCAGTAAGTATTGACTACCACTTTTTTTCCAACGAAGACTGCCTTAAGGAGGCTTAGAAAGACAAGACAGACGTTTGGAGGAAACGTTTTTCAAGGTAAAAAACTGATCATTTATTAATTGTCTCGATCTGTGATTGATCTCGGTTAATTGTTCAGTGTCTCGCGACGTGTTCACGGCCGGTTGCTCGACTGTTTCAGAAAGACAAGATTTTTTGTGAAAACAGTTTAATGCCAAAAATATTAGATTTTATTCCATTTAAATGTAGTTAACTGTACATATCATTCACGCTAGAAACAGTTCTTTGAGGCAAAGAATTCTAATAAGGAAAAAGTCAACATCAAAGAAATAAAAAGAAAAGTCAACAAAATAGCTTACTAATACGTTTTCTCAAAGTCAAATCCAAGATAGAACTTAGTGAAAGTAACTTGTTTTGTTTTTCTACAGCTCTCTGTTGCAATTAGAAACTCCAGCCATTTTTGAAAACTTTGTGTCACCAATCTGCCTGCTTCCTCAAGGTGCTCAGTTCCCCGCTGGTAAAGAATGTTACGTCACAGGCTGGGGTCACACGCAATGGAGAGGGACTAAGCCCGACATTCTAAGAGAAGCTAAAGTAAAGCTTGTAAATGAAGACAAGTGCAACGCAGAAAAATCATACGGCGGCGCTATACATAATAGGGCATTATGTGCTGGATTTGAGGAAGGTGGGGTTGATGCATGCCAGTATGACAGTGGAGGGCCACTGACTTGTCAACATGAAGGGCTTTGGTATTTGACGGGCGTGGTAGCATGACAGCGGGGATGGCGCTTGGCCATGGCAGGTAGCATTGTTCTTAGATGGGTCGCAAGTGTGCGGTGTATCACTCATCTCTGAAGACTGGGTCTTAAATGCATGTCATTGTTTCACAGGTACGTAATCAGCTCTTTGCGCATGTCACCTTTAATAGAATGCGTGTATTAAAGAAACATGCAGACAAACGTCTTTCCTAGAGAAAGGCAACAGGTATGTAATCGTGCATCGTCCTAGTTATAAATTCCTTAAGAAGTAGATGGTAGCGGTGCAGGTGGGAGGCGATTGTAATCGCACGCCGACGTTTTTCATTTTAAAGCAAATCCTCAGCTAAGTTGTCCTTTGAACCTTAGCGAATTTTGCAACAAGACGGCAGAGAGAAGAGGACGGCAAAAGGTTTGTATATGACAAACGTGACAGGGCTATTACTAGTGTGTTTTCGTCGTGATCTTTACTTAACCTTACTGTGCTCTGGTCTTTTACAAAAAGATCTGTTTAAAGGAAGGTGAAGTTTGGCGGAGATATTATATTACATAATTATTGTCAACACACCTGTCACACAGGTTTTGCTGTCTTCTTTCCCGCGCCGTCCTTTTGCGTAAGTTTATTATTAGTGTTCTAGCGACGAGTGATCATGTTTGTGCTCCTCAGATTACCGCTCGTCAAAGGATCCATCTCGCTGGAAGGTTAAACTTGGTTCACATCAAACTGTACATAAGAAGAGAATATTTGAACAAGAAAGAGGAGTCAACAAGATCACCATGCACCCGAGGTATTATGGGAAAACTGAAGATGGGGTTCTTGTTCAGCCGCCAGATTATGACGTAGGTTAGTAACATGTTAGGCATATGGACTACAAACCTACAGATAACAGTGGCTTATATATAACTTTATAAGACACGTTTTTTTTCGAATACTTTAATTTTACAGACTAATGGGTTTAATAGAGAACAACACGGTTTTTCCTCTTTTTAAAAAAATGCAATTGTTTAAATAATAACTTTTAACCCAGTTCCGAGATGATAATAATGACATTTTAATATTCTAAAATCATTGTGCGGTATGTGCAGTTGGATTTAGAGAAAGAGAAACTTTCTTATAAATGCGAGAAATGCCTCTGGTTTCAGACAAGACAAAAGAAATTTCACGTATACTGCTCATACTTATTCGTATCAACATCATATCTTGTTTTAAAGTATGGTTTTCGGCATTCAGAGGTAGACCTTGCCTCAGCCACAAGCTAACCGGACAGCAGTACTAATGTAGAAAGTAACAATAGATGTATTTTGTGTTACTCTTTCAAACCCAGTCAGATATGATAGTCACGTTCTTCGAATCTGCCTCCCAAGCAATATAATGCAATTTCTGTATAGGAAGATTGCTTCATAACGGGATGGGGAACAATTGGATAGAACAAGCCGCGATCTAAGCTTTTACAACAAGCTCTAATCCCTTTAGAATCGAGAGATGAATGCAATGCAAAGAAATCATCCAACGGAACAGTTCCCCAAAGGGCCGTATGCGCAGGCTTTAAAGAGGGTAGGTTTGACGCATGCCAAGGAGATAGTGGTGGGGCGCTGGCTTGTGAACATGGCGGGGCTAGTACCTCCTCAATTGGTCTGGTATCGTGGGGGTAAAGATGTGTTTATGCCGACGTAGGAGTATTACATGCGTGGTTGTAGGAGATGAAAGTTAAAACGGCAACAAGATTCACTGGCTTCTTGACATGGTTAAGTGAACACTCGTTTCAAAGTTATACAACGTAACCACGGCAGAGAAGTTTTTTCCAACTTCTTCAGTTTCAAAAGAAATCACACGTTAAATTTTAATTCTGGACAAAATGTATTGCACAGTATAAAGATGGTTTTCAACAGCAACGGCTGACTTACTTATTAATCGTCTTACACGACTTCACATTGTACAAAGGAGGAAAAAACGAGAAGATGAAAGGATAAACTGATCAAACTTGTTCCACTTATATTGTTGTGAAAATGAAGTACAAAAACTTCAAGAACATCTTTAAGTAATTCAAAGGATAGCACAAGCCACAGAAAGGGATATAGAATGCTTCCTCGGAAAATGTTTCTCGAAAGCCTTTGTCTAGTGGGAGGTCTCGAAGTCTCGTTTTCGGGTGATTTTTCGTCTAGCACGAGTTGGTTACTGCAGTGCTAATTTAATTCAAAGGACCGCAAACGAATATGCCGCAGAAAGTTTGGATTCTGCAATGCTGATCGTATTACGTGAGAATGAACTTTACAAGACATCAACACGACACTGATAGAACCCAAAACAGAGTGCGGGTTTGTAGCCGCTAGTATGTTTTGGGGGACGTAGATCTGTTCTATAGATCCGATATGCGGTACAGTTTGTATGTTTTTAAGGTTTGTTTTGGCCATCTTAAATGTTTTCTTTGCGAGACATCGACGTTACCCTTCGGAGATACGTGATGTGGCGTGATTTGGTGGATGTTAGGGTTTAATGTTAGGGCTTAAAACAGAGTGCTTTTCTGTTCTGTCTGTTGTCCGGATGAGCCACAATAATGGGCGTTTTGGGTATTATCGTTGTCGTGTGATGTCTTGCAAAGTTAAATTCGAGTAGTACGATCAGCATTGCAGAATTCAATGTGTCTAATTTAATTCGTTCAATTGTGTTCTGTATAGCATGCAGTAGCACGACGTTTGAAACAGGCCAAAGATACAATAAACTGTTACGTCTCGTCCGCCGAGACTCTAATTAGAGGTATGGATGTTACTTTAAGTTTCCTGTTTGAGGCTAACCTATCTCTGTGATAGCCTCTTATGTAAAAAATGATCACAAAAATAATCATTCCAACCATTAGAACACTGACTATGATAACTGACAGCTTCCAATCCTCGTCTTTCCATATTTCGTGCTTTTCGTGCGTTGTAGTAATTGGTTTGTTGCTAGGGTTGGTAGGCCTGTGTTCCGGTGTCGCGTGCGTCATATCTGAGCTCACGTGCGAAGTCAATTCTGGCGTTGTCTTGGTAAATGGTGTACTACTTTGTGAATTTTTCGACATGTTTTTGTTTGATACAAAACGCACGGTGAAAGTTTCAAGGCTTCTGTCTCTTGTAGTGATCAGTGTTTCTACTAAAGGTGTCGATGTCATTGCTCCAGGTGTTGTCTGTCTTTCAACTGCATTCACACTTGATGCTGACGTCATAATTTTAACAGATTGTATTGAGGTGTAAACATTGCCTATGAATGTGAAAAAAGGTTACATCATGACCAAGAATCACTGACTTGCCCGTGCAGGTTCGGCAGGTTTAAGATAGCCAAACGCATTATTTTTCGCCCTTGTCCTTGTATGCCATTCTTTTACCTTTCAAAATGGTCAATGAAGAGTGCTGGGAAAGAAATACCCTCTGATAATGGAGACCAGTTCACTTTTGCAAAGACTTCTGGAACTATTACTAGGGGCGAGGGAAAAAAAATCCCAAAAAGCATTTCGGCACCAGTGACACCAGTCCTCTTATCGTTTGTAAAGTGACGAATTGCTGTGTCTGCTGAGGTGTTTTTTTTTTTATTTTACCGAGTGAGATTTTATTCACATTAAGCCAAAACATTGACCGCGATGTATAAAAGAATTAATTAATGTGACTATCTTTGTTTAGTAAAATCCAACTAGTGGTCTATTATCAATGCTGCGTTCTAGGCTACATGTTATAGCCCACGGTAGCGAAAGCGCCGGCTTTTTGGCGGCAAAAAAAGGATTAAAGTCTAGCTTTAACAAGCTAAAGTTGTTTTGTCTCGATATTTTTGACCAGCTAGTTGGATTTTACTAACACAATTATTCCTTTCGCCCTTATGGCCTCTGAGTCAATAGCCCATTCGGCCTTCGGCCTCATGGGCTATTGACTCAGAGCACATTCGGGCTCGAGGAGTAATTGTTAAATATTTCTCCAAATAATAAGCTTCTCATTTCAATTAAAAATGCTTCGCGACCAAGTCAAGGATTCTGTTGACAAATGGCGTCGGAAGTAAAATAACAGCGTGTTGGAAATATATAGAACTTTAAACAGTGGAAGTAACAACCTCAACTTTGAAGTACTTTACTTAGCTTTTGCAAATTTCTCTCGTTTGACCGCAGTGAAAATTAGCCTGCGAATGCATACGTATTTTCGGTTATTGGTTGTCACTTGTTCGTTCCCTCAAAAATTAACCAGAAATACGCATACGGTGATGTAACCATGGCAACATGACAGGATGTGAAACGCTTCCTGTTGGTCGAGCTTGCTTTAGCAGAGCGAGACTCTAAAAACGCAGCCGTTTTTTTTTTCCTTCAGTCTTTCCCAATTGGTCGGCCATGGTCCCAGGCGTTCCTAGCGGAGATCATGAAAACTGGGAATAAGAATCGTGACGACTTTCGTCGTATGCAAATGAGTCTTGTGATGAGCATGCAGTTTGATTTGGGAGATGACTGAAATAACGCGCAATGTTTATCACGTAGTTCTTTGGCAAAATTTTTTTTTCCATGCAAGAAATCCCGCTTTATTTTTTTGCGACAAAACAGGTTACGTTTCAGGCCTCTATAACATAGCAAGGTGAAAATATCGCAAGTGCAAAACAGACAAAAAAAAGTAAAAACTGCCAAGAACACCTGCTCTCTCATGAGAGCTATTTTTAATAATTTGTTTATGACCTTCAGGTGCGAAAAATTTAACTGTCTGTTGAATAAGCTTCTGCTATAAAACTTACACATTTTGCCTGTGCTGAACAAAAAGTGTACCGAGCCGCATCTTGTCCGCTACGTAGAAGGTATATATATTTATACTGATATTAAAAATCAATGTTCGGTTTTTTGAGTGTAAAATACCTGAAAGAGTTCTCCTCACTGGAGAATATCAATATGCAGAAGGTTTTCTTGTCTCTCCTTGCAATTTTTCACGTTTTGAGTATTTACATTATGACATATAACGCTCGTTTTGTATTCCAAACGAAAAAAAAAGCAGCTGACAATAAAGCTTATCTCCAAGCAAGTGAGACGCAACGCTACTAAGAGCGTTCTTGTTTATTATCAACGATGTTTACATGAACTAAGCTGTTTTATTTCACATAGTATGCAATAATTTTCCTTTCTTTTACATTACTTTGGGCGAACGTTAAGTTTTGTTTTATTGATAACCTGCCTGACTATAAGCTATGCTAACTGCGGGCTGTCAACGTCTGTAATACTGTTAATACAGGTGCTGTTTAAGCCTTAAACTTCTTAACAGTATAAGATCTTGAATGGCTACATGCTCTTGAAAAATATATTTCGCAACGTAGTTTTTTTTTATGTATTTCGAAATTGAGAAATAAAAGGATGAAACAATCCTTGGAAAAGATAGAGGAGCTTTCATGAATGGTCTCAAACTTTCCAAATTAGTTTTTGCACGTTACCACTAATGTTAGTGTTGTCTTTGCCTTTTTGAAGCTTAGCTGTGTTGAATTCAGTTGGAGTTAGGAATGGCCAAACTATTTTCAGCAGTTACCTTCGGCCGTACATTTTAACTAAATTATTTGATTAAGCATAATGCTACTGTATTTTGAGGATTCCAAGTCACAGAACGGCAAATCCTTGACCCCTTAACTAATTCGTGTATAGGAACACGATTGATTTTGCAAACAGTCCAGATACACAATCCAACTTACCTAGGGAACTCGTAGCAAGCTTTGTTCGATTTACAAAGGTTGTTATTCCCTGTTGGATCAGTAAGGCCATGAGGAGATAACGAAGTTTCACAGTTTTCAACTCCATGATCCAGTGACTAATGGTGTGAGTCTTAGGTCACCCAGTCACTTGCTAATTTAATCAATTCAGTATCAGCTGTTGTGGCTCTCAATCACAAACAGTGGACATGTTAATGACCATGATCTTGAGTAATAAAAACAATCAGACCGCAGTGTGACGTCAAAAGCTTATATGTTTGAGTCCGCACGTGTCAAAGAAGTAAGAAGTAAGAAGTTTCTCCCCTGAGGGGCTTTTGAGTGATACAAGACAAAGCTATATTTGATCATCAAGTATATATAAAAATAATTACCTAAAAAAAAAGGAAAATGACCTAAGTTTGCGTTTAAAATTCTTATGATACCAAGGGGGTGGGGGAGGGGGTCCGGATTTCAAGTGACAGGGATGATCGAATTGGGGCGAAAATCAAAACCCAAAAACATCTCTAGGGCTTCATACAAAACCTAATAAAATCCCTGGACCAAAATTTCATTTTTCTTTATTCGCGGAACTACGCGGCCGGGCGTACGTGGGAACTATCACGAATCTTCAGATTGTTTTGAATACCCAAAAAATTCCCACTTAAATTCAAGCTACTCAAAATAAAAATACTTGCCAAAATTTTCCTACCAAAAAAATTCCAAAATCAAAAACTTCAAACCCCAAAAAAAATCCTTCGATCATGGCTGTCACTTCAAATCCGGAGTACCCCCCCCCCCCCCCAGGCTTTGTGACATATAATGAAAGAAGTTTCTAAACTGATTAATGTTTGTTTAAGACTTTTGTGTAACGTCCACTCGATTGATTATCATTTTGAATGACGCCTTTAGGCCCCTCTGATCAGATGTATCCCAACCTACAAATATTGCTTGAAGAATATTACAGCTTAGCTGTTATGATTTTTGTTAAAATATTGTATTATAAATGTAGTTAAACCCGATTCCGGGTGATGGAAAGAAAACGGTTTCCTTATCACCTGCTTATTCCCGGCTCTAAAGATATCTCAACGCTTTTTTTAGCTAGGTTTAAATGCCGACTAGCGCGAAACCTAAAGTGAAGTTATAAAACAAACACCATCAAATGAAATCAGTGAGAATATTTCTCCCCTTTCTAGTTCCTCTCCTCGCGGCCATCTCCTTCCTCTACACGCATTGCCTAAAAAGCCGTATGTAAGGGTCAGCTCCTAGAGGTTGGTCGAGTTTTTGCGGATGATATTATACTTATCATTACCTTTTAAACTTTCAAGCTCTCTTTTCCCATCGGCCACTGCTGCAATAATTTAGAATGGGGCCCAATTTCCCACTGAGAGCAAACGAAATGAGAAAAGAAAATGGCATTGAAATTTATATAAATAAGACTGACCAGGCTACTAAATACGTGCGTCCTGTGTTATTCCATTCACTACCAACCAAAACAAGCTTAGTGACGGGAAGAAAACTTTGTTTCTCTTACCTACACCGAAACAAAGACTATAAAACCAATCACTATCTATCTGGGTGTAATTTAGAAAAAAAATGTTATTGATTTGTCGTTTCCACTTCATCCCACTCCTCGCGAGAGAATTGTAATTATGTTTCTCTACCCCTTACCCTCAAATGTCCCTTCGATTCGCCGGAAAAAGATAATTATGTTCCTGCACTTCTCCGGCCCCTCACCCTAGATCAAGCAAGTTTTTTTAGCATCACAAAGAGACGTCGGAGAATTAACGTGCAGAAAAACGTTTTCTACGTCCTTTAACCTGAGTCAGCGCTTGCTTGGAAACTGACATGGGAAGATTAAATACTCAATATGTTTTAAGACATCCTTGAAAACATTTCGAATAAAAAAAAATTTCAGTTATTTATTCCGGGCGAGTGTTTTTCTATCAAATTAAATTAAATGACCTTAAGGATCTCCGTAAGTATCCTGTATGCATGTGAGTAAATGATACTTTAGAAGGGAAACTTTTTAAAACCTCTTCTCCAATATAATGCTGCAATGATGAAATATCGAAAGGTGGATTTATCTCAGTTTTGAGTCTGTAAACGAAATCCTATAAGGTTGCCATTCAAATGAAAGGTCCTCGTCAGTAGTTGTTCCATATGATACTATTTTTTGTTAGCATTTCACAAAGTGAAATTTGCTAATTTTGTTGAATTTTGACATTTTGGTCACAGTTTGGAAGTGAAATTGTTGAACACTCAAAATCCGACAAACTGAACTCGAAGATTAAATAGGTGATTTTCTTTAAATTCCAGATCTCTCTTATTCCACGAGACTCAGAGAAAATCAAGGCAGATTCTTCAAACACATTTCTCTAAATATGCTTTCAAAAAGAAAGCGTTCTGTTGTAGACCATTAAGGCAAGGCGTTTATTAATTCGATAGTTCACCAGCTGACTCGCACACTGTGTTTTGATATCAGCCGTATGGAAATTAGGCTCAGATTCATAGACGCTCAGCAAGTATTGACTACCATTTTTTTCCCAACGAAGACTGCCTTATGGAAGCTTAGAAAAATAAGAAAGACTTTTGGAAGAAAGGTTTCACAAGGTAAAAAACTGATCATTTATTAACAGTCTCGTTCTGTGGCTAGTTCTATTCCGCTAAATTGTCAGTGTCTGACGGCGTATTTACGGCCGGTTGCTCGACTGTTTCAGAAAAGCAATATTTTGGTGGAAACAATTTAATACCAAAAATGATAGGTTTTATTCCTTTTAAATGTAGTTAACTGTACACATCATTCACGCTAGAAACAATACTTTCTTTTGAAGCAAAGAATTCTAAAATATAAGCGCGCCTTTTTCACCTTTTTTATATCTGGTTGGGAAATTAAACGCTGAAGGCCGTAACAAGGCGGTATCACGAAATATTTCGTTCAAAACCAAGCTAAACTGAAGATTTTATTTGCCGTTTAACACAGTTTTTTTGTAAAACTAGAGTACAAATGTGTTCAGTCACAAAAAAAAATTCAACTCGGAATCAATTAGCAATGTTAAAGTGAACTTGTAAATTATTATGAGCTCTTCTCTTTAATCTCTTGGATGTTCTGGAATATTGCTTCAGGTATCTTATACCTTCGTTTGACTGCTTGGATCAGTCGTTGTGACAGAAAAAAAGGAAGAAAAAAATTTTGAAAAAGAACGTCACTTGATCAGACAAAGCGAAAAGCGTAAAATTTGCATCTTGTCAGTTATTTTTCCGCCCATCAAATATTCCAAAAGATGGCAAAAAAGGAAATTAGACGCGCATCTGGCGTGAATAGCTTTTGAAATAAATTAGTGCGTCTAGTTTAATATCACGTTTTCTCTGATTTGCCGACAATGACGGAACAGACAAAGCATAAAGTGGACAGAACCTAGACTAAAAGACCGAACAACGTTGCAAATTCTTTATTTGGTTAGCGAATTATTTGTTCACGATTTCTCGTTTATTCTTTATGAGAATTAAGCAGTCAAGTTTGAACAAATATAAATGTCAAAATTTACTCATTGCTTCAAAATGCGTGTATAAAGCTAGCTGAACGGTGTAAATAATTTTAACTCCGTTCTTTGGTTGGTACTTCAGATTTAGCGTTGTTGGTTTACTAAATGATGTTGTTGAGCCGATCAGTAGTAACTGTGGTCATCTTGGCGTCAGCATGTGATGTTTCTTTTCCCTACAGCAAGAAAAGGGTCTTGGGTAAGGAATTTCAGTTTTTTATTTCTGTTCTCTGTCAAAAGATGTAGTTATAAAGTCTCGTTTTATTGACAACAGATGATCTGAGGTTGACTAAACTCACTCTTTATAAATTCTCTCTTGTAGCGAGTGTGAAATGAGCAATAAAACAAAAGTGAAGAATCGTATACACAGCAACTATTAGAAGATTGTTTTGTTAGAGGGTCCTGAAGCGTGGGGGGGGTACCAATCCCATTTCCCAGCCCATTTCTTCTCGAAATCCCACTTCCCAGTGCCCAAATCCCATTCCCAATAGCAGAATTCGGAAAAAATCCCAGTACTACACATACAACCTCTTTTCGCTTCGCATCCGCAAAATTATGGCTTAACCCAACAAAGACCCAAAAATTCACGCGGATTTACAAAGACGTTCTGAAGACGAGAGGATCACTTTAGACAGTAATAAAACTTGGAAGTGGCGAGTTTATAGCGATTAGCTCCTGTCACTTCACACTCCTGTCATTCCTGCCTGGAGGAAATCTGCCATCCGACTAGTAAGTGTTCTTACCGGCTTCCCAGTCTGGTCAGACGGATCATGTTCATTGTCACTCGCTCTAGAGCTGTCGACCTGTTCGTTGTTAGGAGACTCTAGTACTCTGGTGGTAAACTGGCATCCTACTTTGAATTAGGTGGCTCATCACTAAATTCAAATTGACTGGTTTCAAGACCGTTTCAGTTTCATATAAGTTCAGAGGCACAGTGCCCACCCTGTTCATGTGTTATCTTGTCTTACATTTCGTTGTCGTCTGACGGATTTACAAGAACTACACAAGTATCGTTGACCGCAAATTGGGGCCATTCAGGGGAAATCTGGATAAAAATGCCAAAAATTGACTTGTCCAAGGTGCATGGACAATTTGCTCAAGTTTCTTAACTCCAGTAAAAAAGTGACGCCTCGACTGGTCATGATTCCAAAATATTTATCTCATTCCCATTTTTGACATTTTATTCCCATTCCCAGTGACTTAAATCCGATTTTCCCAGGGCAAAAACCAGCCGATCCCAATTCCAATTTTACCTCTAGTTCAGGACCCTCCTGTTTATCTGGCGACAATAAAAAGACCTTATCTCCCGGCTTAGTGGATAAAGTCGGCTCAAACAATTCTATAGTTTAGACAGTTATTCGCTGTCAGTTTAAAATACTCATATGTGTTCATAGGAGTAAGTGTATCAAGCAGTTGCAATGGGTTTCCAACAAAAAAATATACTTTCAGACAGTTGTTGTTGAACACATAAAAAACGGAAACGTTTTAGAAAGATTTCCGCACCACCTAGAGAGTGAAGCTATGAGTCGAAGACTGAAACATGAAACCAGCATAAATGGGGTTTAAGCACAAACGGAGAGAGAATGTTTCTCTTTCTGTTTAAATACCCAGGTTTTTCTATCACTTGTTCGCACTCAAACAGACGGAAAAGCAGTTTCCTTATTGGTTACTTACCATCTATGCAAATCATAATGCTAGTGTCTTGTTTTTGTATATAGCTAAGCTTAAATGCAGTACAGGAGTTTTCCAGGGGAACACTACTATTACGACCTTCTATTCTCTCTGCAGGCAGGAAGAGACATTTACGGCAAAATCAGATTCAGGTTTACAGCTTCTCAAACTTTTAAGGAAACGAAATGATGAAAACTGTACGAAACAATACTTTTGGATATACTTTGCAGCTTGAAACTTCTTATTTTCGAGTAGATATTGAGGATAGTAAACGGCAAATGAAGTGAAAACTTTGTCGGTCAAGTCGAACGAACTGTCGCTGGCCATTTAAGCGCTCGCTCTCCAAAAATACACCGACAACTATTACCTAGTATAAAGATTATTTGGCCGGCATTCTTTGTTGCTTGCGTCAAATCAGCTCAGCTCCGCCGAATTTTTTTTTCAGAAGAACCCAAGTGTGGCGAGAGATTCCTGAACAATGATTTAGAAGATAAGCGAATTGTTGGAGGACATGTTAGTACTCCTGGTGCTTGGCCCTGGCAAGTGGCTCTTCTTCTAAACGACAAACAGACATGTGGAGGATCGCTTATTTCTCCTCAATGGGTGGTGTCAGCTTCACATTGTTTTGTTGGTAAAAAAAAATACACTTCTTACCTGTGTTTCGCCAAATAGTATACAGTAGAATCCCGATTTCTCGCATCCTTGGTTCTTTCGGCAAAATCCCCGATCATTTAACCCAAACCCAACTTGCCTTCACCAGTCAAAGACTAACCCCCCGATTTTTCAACCGCCCGATAATTCGTAACAATTTGCTTTTCCCGGCCTAGGTGGCCTGTGTTTCGAAAAATCAAGAATCAACTGTAATTGTCTACTACTTAACTAGAATGTGATTAAGACAAAATTTTCCTCAACCTAGGTGATTTTCTATTCATCTTAGTCCATTAATTAATTCACCTATTGTAAATAAAACGATCCCACTTATCGATGAAAAACTAGATTGCTGAATTTTGGCTCAAAGATTGAGAACTTAGTGTCGCTTCTGGTCCGAACGGAACGCCACCATTTCTTCGGTTTTATGTAGAATTAACGCTGCTATGGCTCTGGTTGACCTGGTTATGATGGTTTCAGGTTCCCTGTTATCCAAAGATCCTAAAGACTGGACTGTGACACTAGGAGAACATCATCTCAAAAATGAAGACTGGTTTGAACAAATCAGAAAGGTAAAGGCAATTTACCTTCACCCAGAGTACAAAGAATCCGAAAATAAAGTCGCCGACAACAAGTTACATAGTATTCCACCAGACAATGACGTAGGTAAGATGGTTCCGTCATTTGTATAACAGGTCCCCCAGGGTGTTTTAACCTTTTAAGATCTTAAGATGGCCAACAACAAAATTAGCAAAGATAGATCTGTCCACAGGTCCTGCTTCAACTAACAAATTTTGACCAATCCTGACACAATTACACTCCAAATTGGCGCGCAACATTTGGAGAAAAAATCACTGTCAATTTTGCTATTCACCTGTTACTCTTTGCAGAGTAGATTTGTCCCTCTCTGAAAAAGTTAGCCAGCCAAAAGTCCATGCAAAAAAAAAGAAAACGATAAAGTGGGCACCAAATCGGGCTATAACGAGGAAAGACAAAGGGAAAACAAGAGAGTGAGCAAGAAAGATGGAAATAGATCTGCAAAAAGATGACCAAGACTAATTAACATAGCACTTTCAAAACAAAAGTCTCAAAAAAGAAGGAAAAGGTAGACATCAAAGAAATAAAAAGAAAGATCAACAAAATAGTCGAGTAATATGTTTTATCAATGTTAAATCCAAGATAGAACTTAGTGAAAGTAACTTGTTTCGTTTTTCTACAGCTCTGTTGCAATTAGAAACTCCAGCCATTTTTGACAACTTTGTGTCGCCAATCTGCCTGCTTCCTCAAGGTGCTCAGTTCCCCGCTGGTAAAGAATGTTACGTCACAGGCTGGGGTCACACACAATGGAGAGGGACTAAGCCCGACATTCTAAGAGAAGCTAAAGTAAAGCTTGTACATGAAGACAAGTGCAACGCAGAAAAATCATACGGCGGCGCTATACATAATAGGGCATTATGTGCTGGATTTGAGGAAGGTGGGGTTGATGCATGCCAGTACGACAGTGGAGGGCCACTGGCTTGTCAACATGAAGGGCTTTGGTATTTAACAGGCGTGGTATCCTGGGGCCATAACTGTGGCATTCCACATAAGTATGGGGTGTATGCTGACATGCAAGTCATGACAGATTGGGTGCGGAAGATTATCAATGAAAATTAAATTTTAAAAAAACTTTAGGCCTGTTAAATTGCTAGACATTAAAAACATTAATAAGCAACTATGACAACATTTGCAACCAACATAACCGTAGGAAAACACCAAATATGTACGTTTATTGTTCAGTGGCAAGCTAGTTTGAGGGAGTGTTGAAGCTGGTTCCAAACTGTCAGTGCTTTGGCACACTAGAAATAATATTGTTGCTATAGTAACATCACCTCATCCATCAAACCAAAAAACAAGATTTTAAAGCATTTATAGTAGACTAAAATAAATTTATAAATGAATTTAAAAAAAAAACATAACAATAATAAAAGAGATAGTGAAAAAACAGTGAGAAGTGCCAGAGAATCTTGTGTTGATCTGAATCAGTAAACATCTTGATACTAAGTAAAAAAAAGTAAAGTGAACTTAACAGCAAGAAGACTGAGACAATAAATAAATAAATAAAAACCGAAAAAACAGATGGTAACTTGTATTTGCCCGATATTCCAGTTTGCAACACATGCCTTCTAAGTGGGAAGGTTTGCGTTGCAAACACACTTCAATGAGTAAAACAAAGTTCCTTCATCTAATAAGCATGTGCGGTTCTGTCCATATCTGGAAACTTCTGAAAATGTGGAAGAAATTATTTCTCCCTCACCAAATTCATATTTTCTCTGCTCCACAACAGTTCAGTGAGGAATGTATTGGAACTCCACAGCAGAATGAGAATACACGAAAACTGAAACAACCGATGCCTCCACACAATTTCAGTGGATTTTCAATAAAAAAGCCCTTTGAGTCTTTGTAGAGGAGAGAGTATAACACGTTTGTCAATGTTTTCATGTTAGCTTGAAACAGAAATCTATATCAAATCAGGTCTAGATTAGTCTATGCAGAACTTCCAAACAGGGTAGACATGAACATGGTGAAGTTCTCTAGTAAAGTTCTTGTGAAAGAGTTCAGGTCCTTAATTTCTTTGGTTGAGGTTCCTGAGCTTCTCCGTTTGCTCCTTCTGCGTCTTCAGAATCATCACTGTCATCATCTTCTTCATCACTTACTTCTAACAGAGGCATGAAATAAGAATTTTGTCAATAAACAGATAACTAATAAAAGGTGATGATAGTGGCTCAAGGATTGCTGATGAACTCCATGAAAAAGCAATCAGTTCTGTGTTTTGAGAGCATCATCAAAAATCAAATTTTAGCAGCATAGCCTAGTCTGCCTGTCATCTTCCTGTGAGAAAATATATTATGTGTCCTCATGTTATAAAAAATAAACACCTTTAGATACATTGTTTGTTGTAATACATGGAGATAAATTACATGTAGACTGCCCGATCACAAATTAAATGAGGTGTACGATTTGAAAATGGTATCATTGTCCCACTGGGTAGGGAAATAATACCATTGTCAGAATTCATCAAACACTAAGCTCTATCAGATGGAAAATATATCCCTGTACTTGTACCTGTGGGCAGTATATCTTTTAAGGTCTCCTTAAAATACTATGCACTTGCAGTCCACCATCCACCCCTGCATGACTTTACTATGACAAGTAGGTCCACAGGTACCCCAAGCGCACAAGTGAGAACAGTATTATAAGGGTTTGTATGGGGATTTAAGTGATCATTATTTAGGGGTCAAAAATACCTCAGAATTTCTTACCTTGTGTCCTTGTCTAAATTTATGGTGTTTTCTTAGCATTTTTGGTTGATTCAGCAGGCATATGCACAAACTCTCGTATAAAGGCCCAACGTCTGAAACAAACTATCACCTACGATCATTTTTCCCAAATACCATTAAGGACTGGAACAGCCTATCCCTGAATGTTATTGAGGTACAATCCATAAACTCTTTCTGAGCCCAGCTGGACATGTTTTGATTATTCTTATTTTATTGTTATTATTAGTTATTACCATTAGTAAGGCTGCTGACCTCTTGATAAGAACCATCGTATAGATAGAGAGCACGTACTTGGAAAATAAACAAATAAACTCTTAAAAGGGTGACCCAGAAACACTGACCCCGGGTCCATGGACCCCCCTACAGACCTGGTCCACGGACCACTGTACAGACCGGATCATGGACCCCCCATAAAAAGACAATAATAAAAATGACAATTATAGATTTGACTTACCGTCTGTTTTGTTTTGTTTTGTTTTTTTTTTATTGTTGCCTCCTTCACTGTGGCGATGAAATGAGAACCTGCGTACTTCGAAAAAGACCAATAACTTAGCTAACTTGTGTTTTTCCTTGTGCATTCGCTGCCACCGATTGCCTCTGCCATTTCGTTTCGCTCATTCCCCTGCGTGTTCATTGACTTGTCTTAATAGTGCTTTTTCAACAAAGAAAGATGCCAAAGTCCATTAGATAGCTATGGCCCTTACTTTATTTGACAGTTATGTGTTTAGTTGCCAAATCTTTCAGCAGAGCGACTTTGTGATGACTGATAGAGGAGGGAAAAAACTGCAGACAGAATAATCCACACATCAAAGGCAGCAAGTTTAATATAACCAGGTCACCCTCAGCTTCACCCCTGTTCAAAGGCTTGGGAACTAAGTCGCCAACTGTCAAGTGGACATCAGTATTAGAGCATTGAGTTGGACAAAGTATTAACATGAAACTTAAAAATAAGGAAGGTAAGAATTTTTTCTGCATTATAGGTACATTGCATCTTTTTTTGCTGAAAGAGCTTTTTAAAAACTCTTTTGTGTTGAAGAATTCAAGATACAGGAGTACAACAGCAGCGAAAATGTCATTTAAAATCCACCTTGTGTTCCTTCACACTTCATCAAAATAATTTGAGTCCAATAACTTAAGAAAAATGAAAGATGGTTGAATCCTACTACACTTGAATTTTTTTTAGGAATCTTTTGCATGAAAACAAGGGATGATACTGTACCGTAGTTTTGAGGTCTGGAAAAAGTCACTGAACACGAGGAGGAATGAGCCGAACAAAATGGCAGAGGCAATTGGAAGCCAGCAGCGAATACATAAGTTAGCTAAGTTATCGGTCTTTTCCGTAGTACGCAAGTCCTCCTTTCATCGCCACAGTGAAGGAGGAAACAAAAACAAAAAACAAAGCAAAACAAATGGCAAGTTAAATCTCTAATTGTAATAATTATTTTTATTATTGTCTTTTTATGAGGGGTTCATAAAGGGGGGTCCATTGGAGGGGTCCGTGGACCAGTCCATACAGTGGTCTGTGGACCAGGTCCATAGGGGGGTCCATGGACTGGGGGTCAGTGTTTTCGGGTCACCCCTCTTATAATATTTCTGTTACACAACAACGATTCTCACTCGTGAGCTTGGGGTACCTGTGGTAGGTCAAGGTTCATTATCAACCCCACTTCCAGGTTGACAACTAAGTCGCCAAAAGCATGACAGAAGCGCGACGTCTGATTGCATTTGTTACAGCAGAGCGGTGGAGTTATTTTTAAAAGTTCAACAAGGTCTGCCGTGCTACACGACTGATTTGGCACGGCAAGATTTTTTTAGAGGTAAGAGAAAAACAAAAATTCTGAGAGTTATTACACATAATAAAAAATTTTCTGAGGGGTTGGATATTAAATGGAAAGGCGCTAATGAGTGAACAATGAAAAGCCTAACGAAATGATTATATTATAGTTACCTTTTGCAGGGACTGTTGATGTAGTCTCTTGGTTAATGATGTCCGTTAAACAAGAATTAACATCATTTTGAAGCTTTTTAAGACACTGAGATAGGCAGTGTAAATGGTCATTCTTTTTCTGACTGTTTTCAGTCAAAACATGCCGAAATTCTACCAAATTGCCGCTTCTTCCAGTTAACACACCACTGACCGCCATATTGTATAGTGCACTGGTGCCCAGGCTCTAGAACGTCTCGGCCACAAAAAGGCTCTTGGCCTGAGGATACGTAGTAGCTCGGTCCTCCGAGTTTATTAAAACCGACTCTCTCACTCCGACATGAGTAAAGTGGAAATGCGAGTTGTTTGGTCATGGTTTACTAATTGGACTGACCAACAGAAGCATCAGTTTCTAGATATCCTAGTCAGCAAGGCGGTTCCTCGCAAAGTTTCATCGTTGCTCGGAGCAATGGAGTCGCTCTCTCTTCAGCAAACGCCTAACCAGAAAGATTTATTCCACTGCCAGCTTAGAATGTTCAAGGAATGGTTCGTGCGTTGGAGTGACGAGGAAAGAAACTTGTTCGTAAATGGGTTGGAAGAAAGAGATTACCAGGCAGTTCAGTATTTCTACGAGAAAGTATCACAGACTGCTCAGCTGGAATAAAATGTTTAAATGCCTGTCACGTGACTATTCGCGTGATCATCTCCCCGAGTAGCCTCATAGGCGTTATTTGTTTGCATTTTCACGCGAACAAAGGTACGCGCGAGGTGGGCATGGAGCACGAGACGCAGACCACATACTGGACACATGTACCTTGATGTTTCTGACAGAGATAGATATGTCATCTAGGAGATATATCTAGGAAACAAATCAAAAGTTGGACATGAAGCTGCTAGCATTAAGGGTAGACAAACTGGGTAGACGGGGCTTGATAAAGCTTAGTCACTTTGAAGTTCTAGTCACAGCCCCATTGGCAAAATAACATCAATGTGTACAGTTTTGGCTACAGTAACAGTGGCTTGAGTTGTTAAATGTGACTTATGTTCAATCAACTCTTGCATTACAGTTAGCTCACTGTTACAGACACCCCTGTAATATTGACAGCAGCTGATTCCCCTGAAAAAGTTAAGTAAAAACGTTGGACAGAACACTTATAATGGACTCATGCTATTCAGTGACATTAACTCACAGCCAGGGGGTATCCTCAATAACGAGAGTTAGCCTGTGAACAGGCTCTCTGTTTGGGGAAGGGGTGAAAAAATCGCAGTGTGGGAAAGGAAAGGTGGAGAACCTGTAGGCAAACCTTTGAGGCCACTATTCCTCCCTCTTGTAATTGCTGTTCAAAATCTGTCAGCAAGATCATTATCTATCACTTGGATAAATTGGAATGTTTTGATTTTCTGCGGTTATTGTTTCTGGTCAGCATTATTTGCCCTCTGATGCAAGAGCATTTCCTTTGACCCCTTTTGAAATGTAAATCCCTCCATTGTGGTTAAATAAGGGTTTTAGGTTGTCTAATTTTCTCCAAAGTGCCTCCTGGATCTAAATAACCAAAACCAATTTTCTTTTTTCTGTGAATGTGATGGTTTCCTGCATGCCTTCCCACTTTTCCTGATCCCCAGTTTCCCCCTTGATTGAAGGCCTGTTCACAGGCTAAGGGAATTGACTACACTTATCACTAAAAGTGTGGTTCCAGAAAATATCCATGCCCACCCAATGGAGGGTCATTGCAAATTCAATGGGAAGGGGAAGGGTCTTTAAGGCCAATATTAATTTTACAGGAACATCTGAGTCTAAACTTGAATTTTCAGAGGGGTGGGGTTTCAAATAAAAAAATCCTCAAAGGGGAAGTTTGGATAAGTTCATGAACAACTCAACAAAGAAAAAAATTACAAAGAATAAGATAAAAAATATATAGGACACTTGATTCTGTGGAAGTTAGCTTTTTTTTGTACTAAGAAATGGTCTGCTAAATTATAAGCAGCAACAAATAATTTGGCATATGGCATATCTTTGTTTGAGAAAACATTGTTAAAGATTGTTGAGTGCATATGAAAATAAAACCAGGCAGGATTTATTGACTGCTAGTCTAAGACCAAGGGGTGGGGATGGATGGGTAAATGAGAAAACAGTATCTTTTTGTTTTTCCTTCTGCTCTGTGCTCGCTTCCTTCATGCACTCACAAAATTTGTCTGTGGACAGCCTACAAAGAATCCAGATGTATCAGTTTTGATTGTAGTTTCCTGGTTTTGAAATAAACTCTGACAAAATATGTTAGACACTCAAGATGCTAACAGTATGTATCAAATTATCTTCTGAACAGTGAGGTTGATGTAACTGTTCCTTGTTTAAAAATCCAAGCAAGTCATTCATTTTCTTTAGATTCTCTTTGCTTTAACAGGGCATCTCTTCTTTTCAAAAGTTCTTTTCTCCTTTTTTGCCGCTGCTCTACTTCCTCGGTTCCCATAACCTGCCACACAGGTTTTTTAGATTTCATATTTTCATCAAGAACTGTTAAAAACTGTTCAGTTCTCCTATTTGCAGCAGCTAATGCCTCTGGAGAACTTTCCTCATCTGGAAGGTTCTAAACAAAATCAAAATATGAATTAATAGTTAGGCGATCCTCTTTTTTTCTCCATTTACCGTCATCCAACCAACCCAAATTTTTGCCATTTTCAAAAAGAAAAAAAAAAGCAATGACATAGTTACACCATTTTTCACTTGAAATAATTCTTTTAATCTGAAAAATGAGCATAGTAACAGCATAGAGAAAAACAGGAACAAAAACATGAACATTTTTCACAGTATATTGTACATTTTGTTAATCCGAATATGTGAATGTTAACTTTTAACGTTGTCCTGCGGTACCAGGGCCTACTATTCCGAGACTTCTTGTGAATTTTTTTTTAGGTTTTTTTTTTTCAATCCGACCGACCGACCCGATATCAGGAAACGCATTCAACAGTAAATGAAGAAAAAAAGAGGATGGCCTTAACAATTACTTGTTAATGTTTGGGTGAAACATATGACTGAAATTGAAATAAACTTACTTACTCATTGGTCAATTGAGAACCAATATGTTATAAAAATCGAGAATTTCTTAAGGGGTAGAGTAAACAAAATATGGAATACTTTGTGGGTGAAATTTTAATTTTCATGAAATTCTACAGGGGTAGACCCGTGATATTCTTCAGGGGTTGACAAATTTTTGACAAGGGGTAGACTCATATGAATGCGATTTTAATTAATCTTCAGGGGCAGGGGCAAGAAGAAAAGGTAGCTCCTCAACGGCGGTGGGGGGGTGGGGGTGGGGGGCAGGGGGGTAGGGATATTTAACAATTATTCTTTGAAATCGAGGTGAATAGTGGCAAAATATTTACCGAGCCGCGGAAGCGGCGAGGTAAATATTCCCAAAGCCACTATTCACCGAGATTGAAAAGAATAATTGTTTTAGTATATACACACGAAGTGATCTCAACAAAATCAGAAAGGAAACCATTCAAAAGTACGATTTGATTGACAGATCAAATCACGCGTAAGTTTAAAAATAGATCTTTGCAGAATTTTCAAACATGGCAATTCACAAGTTTATCATTTCGCAAACAACAGCGTAATGGCTTCAATGGAACCGCTAAAAGTTTGAACTGTTTCCTTATCTGAGAAGAAAAGTAGAGCTGTGTTGTTTTCTGTTGACTCGCCAAGTTTATAGCCAAAAGGGTTTGTTGTATCGTTCTTCGCATGAAGTGCTGACAAAAATGGCGGCTCGGTTGCTCGAGGTAAGAGGTCGTCTTCCTGTATCATTCTTTTTCCTGTTTACTTGAAATGTAGAATTTCTGCAAACATTTCCTTTTAAATTTGTTTGTCATAAATAAACTTCGATTTTTGAGCCAAAATTTTCTTCTTAGAAAACGCTGAGTTTACGAAACGGCTTCTTCTACGCGAATACACGGGAGTTGTAAAACAATCCATCGAGCACAAAACTCCTGCTACAGTAAATTGAAAAACGCCGTATTGAATCCTTCCAAGTCTTTTCTTGCCTTAAAAAAAGTCAGCCCTAGGATTTTGTCGACTTTTAAAAGATCGTTCTCTAAAAAAATGGGAAAAACACCGAGCTCACACATTATCCACTCGCTAGGAGGTGAATATTGTTGAATAGTCCGAGATAGCGAACCAATCAGATTGCTTAAATCACCAAGATCACTGAGAGTGTATATACTAATATGCAATAGCCCATTCAGATATACAGCTGTGGCTTAAGATAACATAATCTTATAAAAGGAACTATACATGACCTGAGAGCCGTGGAAGGTTATAGTAAATTAGCAAAAAAGATGGGCCAACCAGTTGCTCGCATTTCTGTATCAATGGTGCAAAGCTTTAAAAACTCAATACATTTTATAAAGCTTAGCTAATTTATGACATAACCTAATTTATGTTACTGTTTCTCCAAAGGCTTCAGTGAGCCGTTACCTTTAACATTTGTTCTTTAGATGGTACAATCATCTTCATAAAGAGCCAAGCCAGGCCTAGACCACCGGCAGTAAGGCCTGAACTTAGCAAAAGCCTGTAGGTTTTGTCGGTTATGGGCATATTCCCCGGTTACTGTGTTCTGTTCTTCCAAATAATATTGATTCTTCATGTATGGCAACATCATTGATCTCCAATGTCTGAGACCGCTGACAGAGCTGCAGTCTCACGAAAGCCCTATGCCCTCTGTGCGTGAGAAAGAACACGTTAACCAATAAAACATGGCGCTGTCTGACGCAGATGTTGCTTCTTCCTTGGCCGAACCAGACCCTAGTACAAAGGACTTTATCTTTCAGCAGACTATGCTGCGAGTAAAGGATCCTAAGGCGTCACTGGATTTCTACACCCGTGTAATGGGCATGAGGTAAGCTTATGTAAAATGACAAAATATATAAGCTTAAGTCTTATTTTAAGGCAGTCATTGCCCAAATAATGGGCAGTAGGGTTTTGAATTATGCATGAGAGAAATTTTGGTTTAGAAAAGCTAGTTCGGGTGCAATTTGGAGAGGTTGATACCACTTACGTTATGCAGCAAGCTCTCCACACATGGCCATTAATTTAAAAATTTATGGTTGGTAGGGGTGGGGAGGGGGTGTGTCATCAAGTCAGCTGAATGGGGTGTACAACAGGTTTTCAGAGGTTGAAAAGTTCAAATCTTATTACAGTGCAACTTCTGTAACTGGGGCCACTGAGACAAAGTTGAATGATTGGATCACAGGAAAATAACATTAAATTCCGAGAAAGTTGGTCGTGGGCCAATCAGCTGTTCATAAAAAAAAAAAAACAATTTACTCAAAGCACAAAATTTAAATATTGACAGTAAACATTTCTCAAGAAAGGAAAATGTTTCACCAAAAAATGTTTTTCTATTGGAAACTTTACATATAACACCCAGGAGACATACCGTATTAATTTGTTTGACACAAGCTGTTATTTTGTCATCTACCAGCAATTTCGTCACTACCAGCTGTGCTTTCATCATGACCTTAAGTCAAAAATTAACTAATATTTATGTTTTTTGTCTGCGTCATCCACTCTATCAGACCTCTCAGGTAACATGGTTTTTTTTGAGAGGGTTCAAAAGGTCACATGTGTAGGTTGTAATTGGTTGATTTTGATCCATGTTGGGTCAATTGGATTATGATTGACAACTAACTTTCTCAGAATGTATTGTTATTTTCCTGTAATCTGATCGGTCAACTTTGTCTAGGTGGCCCCGGTTATAGTAGTCGCACGGTAAGTAATAAATTTTCCTCAAGTGAATCAGGTCCGTCACTAAGGGCCAGGGGCTTGAAATTTCTGCTTACTATGAGCGCTACCCCCAGATACTTTAATAGAGATGAAACAAAAGGAAAATAGAATGTAAATCACTTTTTAGCTGTTCAATTTCCTGCCTACTAATTGCATCCCTACCAAGCTGCTTTAAATCTATCAGATGACAGTTCTGCTTGATGGTTGATACCAGTCATTTAATAACAACAATCTTTTAAATTTGGTCAGCACTAGCTGGTCATGAAAAATTAGGAAGGGGATTGAGGTCATTCAGAAATGGTGTCCCCTGAATGAATAACAATCCCATACACTTCTAAGTAGCTTAAAATTGAAATCTGCTCTCCTTGTAAATTTGGTGATTTTCACTAGAGTGACCTCTGCTACGACAATAAATCAGTGATTTTGTTACCTCTGCGTCCTGCATCCCTGGCGCATAAAAATCCCCCAAAAAGGCAAAATAATTCATGGCATGCCTTTCCTAAGATGCAAAAATTGATTGATCGATCTGAACATGTTTTTTGTGAAATTATCCTGTTCACTTAATTTCTGTGGCAGTTATTATGGCTTTTGTTTAAGGATGCATAATTCTTTAAGCCATTGTTGTGCTGTAAAATAGAAGGACTATATTTTAATTTTATTATACTGTAATATAGAGTTTTGGAGTCTGTCTTCAGATTAACTGTCTGGTTACATAAAAGGCCAAGCATTTTCAATTTCAGACTCATTTTTTTTTCTTTAACTGGTTCTGGACAGGGACTCATGATTTTCAGAAGATGAATCCCAGGACTCAACATAACTATTTGTAACAAAGTCACTGAATAAATCACAACTATATTTTGCCTTTTTTTTATGTACTTAGGCTTCTTAAAAAGTTACATTTCCATGAGATGAAATTTTCCCTTTATTTTCTGGGATTCGTGGATGCAGCCAGTATTCCAAGTGATGAAGATGAACGAACCAAATGGCTTTGTGCCCAGAAAGCAACTTTGGAACTAACTCAGTAAGCTGTGTCAACCTTAGTATTAACTTACATAGCACAGAAGTGAGAAAACGGGCTTTAAATTCATTGTTTCTTAATAAATCGGTAATATGCCTATTAAGCTGTATCCCATTTGGGTGGGGTCACTTCCTTATTAGCCTGCACCTGGGCAAGCCACAGGACAGGGTATAGGATTTGTCCTGTCAGATCCTGTTGGTGATTTTCTGTCAGTGTTAGGTTTGTCCTTTGTCATAAACAGGAAGCTATTAAGAACAGATGTCGTTGCTGTATTTAAATTTAGTATGAGCAGTATCCCTATGCCCAAATTTGGATCAAGTACCCTCTCTACCCCTGGAAAAGTTCCTAAATTGAAATTGTTCTGCTTTTAATCCTGACAGCAACTGGGGAAGTGAAAGTGATGATGCAGTCAAATACCATGATGGAAATTCTGAACCAAAAGGATTTGGTGAGAAAATACTCAGCAGTAGTCCCTTCAATCATTCTTTTAATAACAATACCATACATCAATAATTATTACGAACAATCAAATTTGATTTCAGGTTAATTGTGATTTAACCTAATTGTTGGTTAAAAATTTTAACCTGAAATCAAATTTGACCATTAACATAAACACCTTCATGTATGAAAGGCATCTAAATGATGTCCACTGGTCAGTTATCATCACTGTCTTATTCTTGTCTGTCCAGGGCACATCGGTTTTGTTGTACCAGATGTGGACAAGGCATGTGAACGGTTTGAGAAGATGGAAGTAAAGTTTGTAAAGAAACCTAATGATGGTAACCATGATTTTCTTGAGATTTTCCTTTACCAGGAGCCCATGTATGCCTATAATTTACTTAATATGTATGTAATTTGCAGTCAAATAACATTGCACTCACTATCTTTCTTCTCACTGGTTAAGATCTTTTAAGTACAGTTAATATTGTGGAAAGCAGCATGGTGTAGAGATTAGTCACTATCTAATCTGCTAGCAGATGGGTGAATAATCTGTAAGGTGCAATTTATGTTTTCTATGAGAGAATGATAATTATGTTTCTTGTATTAGGAAACTTGTTGTTTGTGTCTTTTAGGCAATGTATTACAGTTATTAGGTTTGGTTTTTATGACATCCAAAATAATCAAGGTCTTGGTAAAAAAAACAGCTGAGGCATAACCTAATCCAGACATCACAATACTAATTTATATTGCTTAATAAAGTAACAAAATTTGGTTTTATCTAAGCAAAATTCTGATAAAGTTTTAGGTTTTGTAGGTTGTTTACTAGACTGTTCACAGTCCCCTATTTTTCCGTAAGATTGTCGAGATTGAGTGCTTTGCATTACGGGCTGCCATCTTGAATGAGTGTCAAAACTACTTGGGAGGCAGGGGTGGATGGGAGGAACTGAGAAAAATATGTTTCATGCCCCCTCCCCCTAGAGCTATGATCCCCGATGCCTGCCCCTCAGTACATTTGAAAATCAAGCTGGCCACCATTAATGGTTAGACGCACTATATCTCGATCATCTTGCTGAAAAATAGAGGATTGTGAACAGTCTAGTTGTTTACTCACAGGGTTGCTTTATGGTTAATGTAAAATTTTAATGTTACTTTTGTCCTGGTTACAGGTAAAGTCAAAGGCATAGCGTTTGTTCAAGATCCTGATGGCTACTGGATTGAACTTCTTAATGGGGAAAACCTGCTGAAAGCTTCTAAAGAATGGTGTTCATAAAACTGCAGGACTATGACGCCCTTAAAGCCTTACCACTGCTGTCATAAGAAATGTATCAGATGCAAATTATATTCTATGAAACGCTAGGTCAATATGGTATTTCATGCAATATCTTAAAACACCAAGGAGTGAATTTGGAAATTAAGGCACATCCAAGATGTTAAAACTTACAATGAGGCATTTGGATTTCAAATGAAACACTCTTAGCGTTAAAGGGATTATTTAGCTTCTCATATGATCAAAAGAAGAAATTGAAAGGTAAAGTGAAAGACATCATGGTTAGGGTCCTTTTGAGATTTACAAGCCTGCTCCAGGATAGTTTAAGTTTTAGTTTAGTTCAAGGTAGTTTATAGGAAAGCTATAAAACTAAAAAGCAATAGGTTGTCAGCAGACCATCTTTGAGAAGGTCATTAATTTTTATTTAATGTAAGCACTGGAAATAATCAAATCCTTGGTCATTAAAAATTCAAAGTTTTATACAAGGAGTAAGTCTTCCTATCTAATTAGCAGTTTAATTATTATTGATAACTGAATAGAGTATTTTCACTCCAGGGCAGGGGGGGTGGGGGTACTCCATTATATGGCCTATATGGGGATATGCCGCTGGACTGGGTATGGTTTTTTATCTCTCTGTCCCTAACAGGATATATAAAATTTCGTTTGAGTCTGTCAACAGGGTTTTGCCTGCCCGATTAATTTACATGTAATTCGCCAGATGAAATTTGTTTGTACTCTAAGTCTACAAAAGCAATGACCTTAATATTTTGCTCTATTAAAATTGCCAATTTATGGCTTTAAAACAAGATGGCATGCATTTTGTCCTTCAGGTCTTCAAACCCTAAGCGGCTCACCACACCCAAATATTCGCAGAGTACCCCATCCCCTTCCTGGGTTTCACTCACATGACAAATTGATACCAGTAGTTAAATGGACAAAAGAAAGTGTGGACTAGCTCTCCGATCATGGGATTGACTTGTTAACAACACTGACAATTCATCATTTTGATGCACCAATATGGTTGATGTGGTTCCGTGAGGAAATGCTCTATAAATAATTGTGCTGCAGAATCACACAATGTTGAAAACAGAACTCCATTGCTTTCTTTTTTATTATAACCTTTTAGCTTCTAGTACAAAACTACAGGAAAGTGCTTTGACTGTACTTTCTTGTATTCATTTGTCACTTATGACGCCTTATTTCGAGGAGATGACATAGTTATGGGATAACTTGCATCTCCTCGTGCAGCCAGTGTTGCTTTGAACTGCTGGGGACTGCTGTAAATAGTCTTGGTGCCTTGGTTTAAATAAGGCATGTTATGAGGAGTTGACTGCAGGCTGGGTATATTGAGCTTTGAGCCACTCGAGCTTCGTATCCAGTCATCTTTAAAAACTTGAACAGTAAGGTAAGTTACATGGCTGGATAACTTGTTAGTAACATGAGCAAGCACCATCTGCAAACAAAGAATAATATTTTCACCATAAAATTTCAACAAGGCCTTTTGCCTGCCCAGATGGTAGTATTCATTGTTGCAAAGGTTAGAGGGGGTAAGCAAATGACTGAAAGAAATGATAAAAATTCAACATAACAAGGTCAAGAATCTCAGCTGACCAGAGGTGAAACAATTGGTAATTGCTGCCGCGCGAGCAAGCCTGGGCGGCAGACCTAATCCGTACAGGAACAAAAATTTTCAATTTCTACCCACAATGCATCTGGATTTTTAACCACATTGCACTTTTTTACCACAATGCCTTGATGTCGCAATTTCTAATGTACCATGATCATACCCAGCATGTTTAGTACCATTCCCCAAGTCAGTGAAAATCTGGTGTATTTCATCAAATACTGAATGATGTTCAAGTGCAGAATGATGATAGACACTAGACCCAGCTGAACTGAATGTGGCCTTTTTAAAGTTTTACGATGTAAATAAATTTTAAATTTGTTCTTTTTAAAACTTTATTTGAACTTCTCACTCATGGTTGCCACAGGTTAGGAAATGGTCAGGGAAAAAAAATCTTTCATGTCCGGGAAAAGTCAGGGAATTTCACTTAACCCATTCGCTCCTGGAGATTTTGCCGAAAAACGCTTTTTGAAGCTAGTCGAGTGGTTTTCTGGTCACTGTCGTGCTATAAAGAGCTAAAACTTACCACAAACCGGTTTACAGGTCGTACACTTGGCGGCCTTCTGATCCAGATGCAAAATATCAGCTTGTGAAGTTCGGGCATGCGCAGAAAGCAAAATTTTGACAGTTTTTGGGTTTAAAAGTGACACAGCAGTCTTGACTTTTACGTTTCGCTTTCTCTCCTCCCTTCTTTTTTCGCTTTTCTTGCCTCATTTTTTTTTTCTCTTGCTGGGCATTTAGTAGGCTTCATTTTGGTGGGAAGAGTTTTTAGGAAAGCTTTTAGGATCTTAGGATTAGGTGAAAGGAAAGGTAGGTGGGTAATGGAACAAGATTTTCATGGAGATTTTCAGGTCCTTGTCACGTGGTTTTTTGCTTCTTTCTCCGGTGTCCTTGACTGAATTGTGCTCATTCTGGTATGGTTTGAAAGATCTCTTCACTCTGCACAAGTTAGCGAAGAAAGTTGTCCTTGACCGTTAAAACTGATGACGTCACAAAGGGTAGAAAGGACCTGGATCCGCACGGGCGGTTCAGGGGCGAATGGGTTAAAGTCACGGAAAAGTTAAATGTTTGAAAGTAGTCTAGGAAAAGAGAACGTTTTAAGAGTACGTATTTATTCTTTTCCCTCTACTTTTACTCTTTTCTAACATTAAAATTTCTTTACATTTTACAGACATGAATCGTGTTGTATTGGTAGAATATTGTTCATGAAATTGAATGACAAGGCGATGTTGTGTAAATGAACTGTCAATTCATGTACAGTGTACTGACAGGGGTTTCTTTACAAGCAGGACGCTGGACACAATGACTGGTTGTTTAATGTGTAAACATCTGGTAGTTCAAACACAAAAATAATAATTTTTTGAATTATGAAAATCATTTCCTTTTTTTTCATTTTTTAAAATAATAAATAAAGTAAAAAATGAACAACTGCAAATAGACAGTTATAATGGCCAAATCAAATGTTTCATTTTTTGTGAGCATTTTTTATTGCCTTAAAATACCTTTCTGGTTAACCAATTGTGATCCAGAGAATGTAGGAAATTGCATTTTAGAGAGTCCAGTCATAAAAATTTCCCGGGGGAAGATGCCCCCTGAACCCACCTAGAAGTTTTTGACTACGCCACTCAACATAAACACCCGTGGCACAAAAGGTGCGAGTCCCCCAGATAAACCTCTTCATCTGGTACTTCCAAATGCTATGGAAAACCCTGACGCACACTGCACATGACTTGCTGAAAGCATAAATAAATAGGTTGAGGCAGGGGATGGCTGTGAGGGGAGGGTTGAGTCCATTATTATTCAGTTGGTCAGGGAATTTCAGAAACCTCTGGCTGTGGCAACCATGTCAAGGTCAGCATGCACATGCGATGTTTTTCTTCAATTTCATTTGAACATAACATTGTGTGTGCATTTTTTCAGTTTCCTATAAACCTCAGAGGAAAAGGGAGCACATGTCATGCATTAAACGTTACATCTTTGTTTTGAACTTTACTTAAACGTTACATTGCACGTGCATTTTTCAGTTGCTTTTAAATGATTATTTGTGTCACCCAGTTTTTGTGACACTTCAGCACAGTTCACTAAGAGGCAAGGTAAGATCCTTTTCTTCATGGATTTATCTTTTTCTTTTCTTAACATTTTCGAATTCTTTTATGATCATGCCCTTGTGTTAATCTCTACACTCGTGCTTTTATTTACTGATATTTTTTTCCTTTTTATTTGTTGCTGCGGTGCGAACGAGCCTGACACAAGCAAGCAAGGCAGCAGACCAAATCTGTACAGAGACAAAAATTTTCGAATTTTTTTTGTCCTTTTGATTATCTTCTACACTCGTGGTTTTATTAAACTATCATTTCACAATACTTCCATGAGATAATGCTCGAATAAAGCAGAGTAAACTTTTGACGACTAGGCTAACAAATTGTGTCCCAAATGCTAAACAAGACGTGTTCTAATGGGCCATTTCGGAGTTCCCCCAGGCCTCTGTAAAATGAGGTTCGGTGCTCAGGCTTTGATATGGAAATGATTTTTCATTTTCATGCAAATAAAACTCATTTTCACAAGAAAGGTTGTGCACTTGGCATCATTCTGAAAGTGAGGGTTTTTGGAACTCAGAAGTGGCCTGTTGCACATGCTAGCTGAATCTCTCTATTAGGTACACTAGTCTGTAAGTGTAGTTGAGAAGAAATCCAGCTTACAACCAAGGCAGAACTTAAAAATGAAGCCTTTGAAATGCATATTTAATGCCCTGATACCCATAATCCCTGGCTATGCTTCCTACTCTTCAAGTGGCCAAAATTAATAGTCAAAATTAATGGTCAACCATGACCATGGGAAAAGAGAAACTTACCTGTTCACTGGCATCTCTTCTGATTCTAACATGCAGGGAGCCTGCCTATAAAGAAATAAGTATCTCTTTTAATATTATTATGTAACTACTCGTTAAATTCCTTTGTAGGCTTTGTGAGATGGAAGTGCAATACACCAGTGTAACTAAAATAATATACAGTATTTATCAGTTAAGAAAGATTGATTTTTTTTAACATCAAAAATGTTTGGTTTTTTCGGTTTGCATGGGTTTATAATAATTATTTAAAAAGGCACTCGGACCAATACTTATTGATTACATGGAACATTAAAGTCATATTGCTATAGCAGCAGTATTCTTTAGGCATTATTCTCTATCTAGGATTGAAGTGCCAGAGACCAGAATAAATGTATGTTTAAGCTTACTAACCATGCGACCAAATGACACTGTCCAGAAATGCTCATTTCTAAATTCTAAAACACCATCCAAGGTTGAAGCCTGAAAAAAAGGAGCCAAAACAGTTGGATGCACACATTTGTTTACTGAACTTACGTGTATTGTCAGCTTTTTATGGCTGAATTAGCAAAGTTGCTGTTAAGAGGTCAAAAACACTTCTGCTCAAAGAAATTCTGTTGTATCTTACCTCACGGAGGCACTTGTCTATTTGGCTCATTATATCAGTGGGGCATGTCTAAATTTTAAAAAAAATTAATAGCAAAAAATTAAGGAAACCACAGGGCAGTATTGTAGCAATTGTAGATTCTCCCTAGATGGAAGAAGTGTGGAGGGCAAGACTGCTGTTGGAATTGAAGAAATTCCAAATGTGAAGGAGATCTCTACTCTCCATAACTTTAACTCAGGAGTACTGCCTGATGGTGGGGGAAGGATATGAGTGTTTGTCTGGGTTTGAAATGCTTCATTTCTTTGTCAGAGCTATTGGGACAAAGGTTCAGGTTAGGGTTAGGTTAAAAATAATTTTTATCGCTAAGATTCACTTTTTACCTGTAATAATATCTGGCCACTGTATATACTGAGTGGAAACATGGTAGCCCACATCATAAATGCAGTCACTATTGCACAGAAACTATCAGCTATAAATGATTTACTGTCAAAGAGAAATACATTACAAAATAGTTACACCAGTGCTTATAAATTTGAAAATTGATCAAATACATGAATTCAGCAAAAATGAATTTGCCAAAATTAATAAATTATTAATGAGACAAGTATTTTGAATGAAGTCAACAAAGCTCCATTGTTTCAGTGAGTGATGCAATTCACACCCTTATTGATTAAGCTTGTTAGTGCAGTTTGCTCAAAGATTATAATTTACTTGAGAAACGTTTTGTCAAAGAGTACAGCTTCTTGTTCCTGGCAGAATCTTTGGCACTTTCACGTCACCTCACCTCACCTCACCCATCCTCTTTGTGCCTCATGGCATATAGGGCCTTGACAGAGTCCCTCTTCGTATCCTCAGTTAGCCCCAATGGTCTTCACTTCCTCCCACAATTGCCATCCTGCTTCTGCTCTTTCCTTTTCAACCGTTCATCTGCAGGTGGTTTTTGGTCTTCCTCTTCTTCTTTTTCCTTCTAGTGCCCAAGTTATTGCTATGTACAGTGTAGCAGTCGCTACTTTGGTCCTGTCTTAGTCTATGTCCAATCATCTTCCATCCATGCTGCTTCACCTCTTTACTCATAGGTTTCATGTCTGCTCTTTAAAGCAGCTCTTCAGTACTGACATGGTTCTGCCACTGGATTTGTAGGATTCTTCGAAGACATTTGTTATGAAACACATCCAATGCTCTGTCATTCTCCTTGTTCACTTTCAATGTTTCACACCTGTACAGCAGGACTAGTACTGGCACTACTAGTGTTTTTTACAGCCTCAGTTGTGTTCTTCTCAAGATGTTTTTTGACTTTCAGATCCTCTTTAATCTTTGAGAGTCCGTTTTTCAGGTCTTCATACCACCTCCCTCTTTACAAAAAGTACAAATGTAGCTCCCAAGTAAGAGAACTCATCTACTTCTGCTATTCCTTGTCCAGCTATCATAATCATTTCCTGGTTCTTTGCATTAATTCTTATCACCTTTGTCTTAATTCTCATGACTGTTGTCTTTTCCATGTTAATCCCACTCATCTGGCTTTGTCATACATTCTTGCTGTTTTGTCTTGAATCTGCTACTTGGTAGAGGATTATTAGCACTACACCATCTGCAAAGTCTAGGTCGTCTAATTTAAATGTGAATTTCCACCTAATACCAATTCTCACCATGACCAATCAAGAACAAAACACCCGACATATTACATCCCTGTTTGACGCCGGTTTTAATGTCAAACCACTCGCCTATTTCTCCCTGGTTGTCTATAGCACACTTGAAGTCTTCACAAAATATTTTTACCATTCTAATGACGTTTTCTGGGACTCCATATTGCTTCATGATTCCCAACATGCTTTCGCGGTGGATAGAGTTGAACTCCATTTCAAAATCTATGAAGTTTAGATAGAGTGTTGCTTGCCACTTGTTAACCTGCTCCATGAAGTTCCGCAGTATATTGAATAGCTTATTCTGCTTCATCTGCAACCTTCTCCACCCATTTCCTTACATCTGGTTTTACACTCCTCTTAACTTCTCTGTCCTTTTCTGCATACTTCGCCCCAAGTTGTCTCTTGACTTTTTCTGATCATGAGCTGAGAATATTTCTGTTGATTTTTTCCCTTTAGTCTACAAGGTTTCATGATTCGTCACTAATCCATGGTTTGTTCCTCTTTCGACGTCTTTCTAGAACTCTTTCTGCAACTTCAGTGTACGTCTTCTCCATTATTTGAAAGTCACGCCCTATTTCTTTATCTTCTTCTTTTATTGCTAGCCCTCCATCCTCAAGCACCTGGTATCTGTTCTTCCGCGCTATGCTAAATGTCTTCAAGATGTTTTCATTTTTCAGCTTGGTCATCATATCGTACTTGACTGTAATTCCTCTCTTTTCCTTCGATTGGTTCCTCAACCTCAATTTGACTGTTGTGCATACAAGGTAATGGTAACTTTAGGTGTCTGGAGACCTGTAAACCCCAGTGTCTTTCACTGAATTCCTTAATGAAATCTTATCAGTATGTGATCTATCTGATTCCTGGTTATCCTATTTGGTGATACACATGTTGCCTTGTGTATATTCTTATGTGGGAAGAGTATTCCTGTGATAACTAAGCTCATTCGTATCGCAAAGTTCACACAACCCTTCTCCATCATCATTTCGCCGTCCCAGCCCATGCTTGCCCATCACTTTATCATAATCCCAGTTTTCTTCTCCCACCTTATCGTTCATGTCTCCAGTGACTATCAGCAAATCATGTTTGTTCCTTTTGTCTAGTACATCTTGCAGTCTCATGTAGAATTCCTCTTTCAATTGCTTGTCTGCCTCTTCCATGGGTGCATAGATGTGCACAATATTATTGTTAGCTTGATGTGTTGGGAATAGAACCATGCCTGAATGATCCTTTCACTTATTGGAGTCCAGTCCATCAGGGCTCTAGCTGCACTTCTTGACATCAGTATACCTACTCCTTCTCTATGATTGTTGTCATCTCTTCCAGAGTAAATGATGGTTTCTCCTTCTGTCAGTTGCATTTTTCCTTGCCTTGTCCAGTGTGTTTCATTAATACCCATGATGTCTATGTTTCTACCGGTCATTTCTCTTGTTACCTGTGCAATGTTACTACTTCTGTACAGTGTACATACATTCCAGTTTCTGATCTTCATGATGTTTTTGGGGTGTCCCAGTGGCCTATTGAGCTTGGTGGCATCCTGTTGGCTTTGGCCACTGCACATCATAGACTGAGTTACTCCTGTTGTGAGGACCACCTCTTTATTAACTGGTAATTAAAGTTTGTTAAAAGATTTAAATAGATTAGCAGCAACCCAAGAGATACTTACTTGTAACTTATCAATGCATCAGTTGTAAGCACTGACACTGCTCCTGCCATCCCCACAAGAGCTATGGGGTTAAACTTTTGAATGAGAACTTTGCCTAGGAATGGAGCAAACCCACAGACACTGCAAGTAACAGATCACAAAATCAATCAGCAAGTTAATTCTTTCTCTCATTGATCTGCAGTAACTTACAGAAACACTTCATAAGAATGCTTTACTTTGTTCAACCAACTAAAATCAAGGAAAATCCCAAAGCAGAAAACTTAATTTCTCAATGCAAAATAGACAAAAAAAGCTTTTCATATTTTGTAAAACATTTCCAGGGGATTTAAGCTTGAACAACTCACCTATGTCCAAAATCATTCACAGCATCCTGGAGCCAATTGGACGATGCAGCTAAAACACAAAGTTTATGTAAACAATTTTTTAGTAAGCATGAAGAGACTGCATGACTATATAACACTACGTTATAAATAACCTAGGTTAAAAAAATCAACCTAGGTTAAATCAAAAATAACCTGAAATCAAATTTGACCTGTAACATATACATACATGAACAATAACATAGTTTTTAAATGGCTTACCTTGGGACACTATGATAAACGGTTTGTTTGTAACACCATATGTCACAAGTAAATGTAACAATAATCCAACTACTGTGACTGGGAGAAGATTATCCCTATTAAAAAAAAACAGAAATAATGTATAATACGGAACTCTGCAAATCAACTCCATAATTAGAATTGTTATATGGCAGGAATTTTTTTCCCAACAGCGCGTGCTCTCATTGGTTACATCAAGGTCACATGACATCTAACAATGAACTGTTTCCTGCCAAAATCTATGAGCCCGCAACACTGCAAAATCTATGATGTCAGAGGGTGTGTAATATTAGTATTATGAAAAGTGTTACTAAAAATTTCCCAGTTTGTCTGGAATGCAAAGAAAACGGTTTACTAATCTTCTGTTAGTGATAGAACGAAAGAGATTTTAAACGACATAATTTGCAAACTTACGTTGTAACTTCTGGAGGCATAAGCATCCTTTCAATGCTGTAAAGTAAAATTTCAACAGAAAGGCTTAAGAAAGTTCAAAATGTACAAAAAAAACCTTCTATGTTATGGTTCATACCATGTGTGATCAAGAAAGGGACTAAGCTGAGTGGTAATATACATAGTACAACTTCATGCCAAAAATATTGCAAAAAATAATAATAACAAAAAAGAGAGAATGCTCAAACTTTCAGAGGAGATTTAATTTTATCAAAAGGCAGTTTTCAATAAAATCTCAGTGTATATGATGGCAAAAAAGTACATTTAGATGTGTTACCTTTCTTTCACAATAAAAAGTGCTCCAAACATAACAAGAACAGTACTAGTAAACACAGCCAGTACTTCATATCTCTGATACCTAAGCAAGGAAAAATAATATTAACACACTATCACCTGTGTCTTGTCAATTTCTTTTCTTTACATGTACATTTTTGTGACTTTTTTTCAAAAAGTATTCATGATTGCAAACAACATACAACAAGTCATGCGTGTACTATTTAAAAATGAGCAGGAGTGTATTATCATGTTTAAAAACTTGAGGCGAAGCCAAGAGTTTTTACACCTAATAATACAGAACTGCGAGTGTTTTGAACGGCTTCAAAATCTCTGATATACATTGACTCATTCTTGCACTAATATTTAGATTTGGGGTTATTTTGGTCCAAAAAATTGGACGTAAAGTTTAGCCATGTCTTTATCAGACATAATGAAACTCATTAAACATTAATTTCTTTTGTTTTTTCTTATGAATCATTAATGAGTTTTTGAACTATGAGTGATGATTTTTTAGACATGTTGGATTTTTATATTTATAATATTTGGTAAATGCAATGACAATAAATTATAACAAAATTCCTCACCCAAAAGAAAAGGAGGAGGAAGGTTTTTGAAGTGACACCCACAGGGATAAAAGACATGTAAAAAGACTGTAAATGAACAGAGAGAATTATGGTTAGCTTACACCAAGGAATCTGTTAGGGAAATTACAGTTCGATGAACAAAAAATGAATTTCTTTGACAGTAGAGATTTCAAGAAAGAACATACCTTAATAGATCAAATATTGTCAAGTAACTAAATGATGTGAGAGCTGAAAAAAAGATGAGCTCATGGTTAATGTGCTGGCCAGCATGTACATGTAATATAACGTACCAGTTACTCTTCTGTTCGTAAGAGTCATTGATGCAACTTTTTTCTGTTACCTAAGCTGTTTGTTGATCCACTGTATACAAAAAGTCCAAAGGAGCAGAGTAAATTCAAAATGATCAGCCAAAATATTTTCCAGCCCTGAAAAAACAAACAAACAAAGGGATAAGTTTGGATTGTTTATAAAAAAACTCTTGAGTGCAGACTGTATCTTGTTTATTGTTGTTCAAGCTTCACATCTGTTTGTGTGTTGGTTTTGGATATAAACAACATGTGAGGATCCTGTAAAACAAGAATTACAATTTTCAAAGAAATCACAGCCGAGCTAAACCTCCAAAAATGAAAGCTTCCATACTAATAGAACTAAAAGCTACTCCACTATTTTCTTGTTCTATAATTTACAGTAGTCTTCTCACCTGTCGCTCTGCAAGGACACTCTGAAGCTCCCTCCTAACTCTCTTCATGATTGGGTAAGATCTTTGTGGAAAAGGCTTTATAGCACTCTAAAAAGGATAAAAATTTAATATACAATATTATCATTACCTTGTAATCGCTTAAAGTTATAGGTTTTTTCTCTTCAACCAAGGCTGTGATCTAAGAAGGGTCAGGGTGGAGGCAAAGGGTTAAACCTTTAAGGTGTCTAACATTCCATTCTTGTTAAAAAGCTAAGATTTCCCTCTTGCCCAAGTGAAATATCATCATGGAACTTGGATGGTGGCCAAGCAGTTGATGCCTTGCTGGTCACATTGTTTCCTTACACAAGAGAGTTTTCTCCACTGTCTCTCTTTATGGTTTACAGGGTGTATAAATGGATATCTGTTGAATACTGCTGGGGACTGGCAACCCAGTTTAAGGGTGGGGGTGGGGGAGGATGAGCAATGCTTCAAGCATTTCATGCTATAGAAACTGGGTTGAGGCTGCACCTAGACCTTCAGGGAAAAAGTGTGTTGCGAAGGGCCACCAAAGACATTTGAACTCCTGCAAACAGACACCTCACATAGGTGAACAAAAACTAGGAATCTTAAAAAAGACACTCAGTTATCGTCCCACCCACATACAAACACTGTGTTTTAAATCTCCCTTGGGCAGGCACCTTTCATAAGTGAACATTCAGTCATGGTCCCAACCACAGACAAACACTGTTTTTTAAACCTTCCTGAGACGGCAACCTCTCTCATTAAAGTGCCAGACACTTTTTCTGCATCTAGAGAGTCTGCTTATGAGAGGTTCAACTAAATATTGCAAGAAATGGAGTTTGGTAAAGAGGCCATATTAAGGTAACTAGAATTTCAATGTGACAATATAAACTCCCATAAAAACTTAGAAAATAACTGAAATAATTTAATGCAAGCCAAAGTTAAAAAAACACTTGACCAGTTACTTACTGATAGAGTGGATCTGTCATTATCATTCATTGTTCCTCTCATTCTTAAACTATTTGCTGTTAACAAGTACATAAGCAACATTATTTCATTTATTCTAGTAATAAAAATAATTTTTTTATGAAAAATATATACCTTTCCTTGTTTGATTAATATATTGTGAGGAGTCATGTCTACAGTAGGTCGCTGGTGAATTTAACCTGTGCGAGTTGGTTATCATCAGTTTCTTATATCTTGAACAGTTCTAGAATTTTCATGTGTCAAGGCCTGCACCTTTATGGAACTTTGATCCCCATTTTGTAATAAAAGAGATGTTGCTACATTGTTCATCAAATCTATTAGTTTTAAGTTCAATCAGTCTATTGTTGTATATTTTGCTTACGCTTGTCAATAAGTTGGTTGCAGTCTGTAGAATACATAAAGCATTTGGCCAAGTCTCATTCAGTGAAAGGGTCTGTCTGTACACATGTTTTGTATGTGGTGTTAAACTAGCTATTATAGGCTGAAATTTACAATGCTTAGTGGTATTAATGCATCTCTTCAAAATGGAACCAATCCAAAAAAGTACTTGTTTGAATCACAGGAGATTGATTGATTTTGGAACATATTACATGTTTTTGAGAGCAGTGTAATCCCAAAGTAACTGGCATTTAAAAATTCTTTCGTACATATAAATATACTTATATGTATATATATGTTGTAGTTAATTTTTTATCTCAGGTAATTTTTCTTTTTCTTTTGTTTCTGGGTATGATAATCTACATTAATGAAGTTTAAACAAAAGAAAAATAAAAATTACCTGAGATAAAAAATTAACTACAACATAACCATATTAATATACTTTATATAAGATGGACTTTTATTATGTAGCTGTATCCAAGAGCCTTTTGTCTTTTGTCCGTCATTCGTAAAGAGAAGCTAAAACAATATAACTACTATGTCAACCAATCAGAGCTCCTGATTAGATTTCACACAGATTTTACGTTAGACTAAGAGCAGTCTCTCTTTTTTCTTAGTTCATCGAGCGAGACGCGCAAGACATGCAAATGACCACACGCATGACTGAAGGCACGAGATGGGAGAGCCTTTTCGAGTTGCTGCCCTCATTTCTCGTGTCTTACAGCTTTGCGCATGCACTCCCTGCACTAAATCTAAAGAAAAAGAGAGAGGGCTTACAGTCGAATCTTACATCATTGGCATGGAATTTCTGTCCAGAAGGCGCAGATGTCTCTCCTGGTGAAACGTCCCAAGCGGCGGGGAGCGAGGAGAAACAGCTGTTTTCCAGGCTACGAATATGCATAATTTTACGTACAATTGCAAGAGACTGTTGGCTTTTGATTTTGAACACCTTTGACAAAACTAACCTCCTTCATCCTTCAAAGCATCTTGATTTCCAGTCAGGCTTCCTGTTTCTGGAATATCAATGGCAACTTGCCGAAGCTCTGTTTGTTTTTTAGGTAAATATCTGAGCAGTCTGTCTCTTCCTATAGTCGGTGCAGTTGCTGTGGCCGCACTGTTGTAGGAATGCAACAGTTGGGAATTATCCATATTTAACGCGCTTGATCTCTTCTTCGAAGTTTCAAAATTTACGCTTTGTAACGCTTTTTAACTTGCAATCCTCATAAGAGCCCTCATCTATAAAGAGCAAAACGGCAAATCGCGATCATCTTGGTGAATTTCGAACAGAGAGTCGCCATTTTGACTATTGAGCCTGCAGTCAATCGCAGACGACACGTAAGTAGATACCAGATCTCCTCGCACTCATGCTTCTGTCTCGATGAGAACGCCTGTACAATTTTTACTGTTTTCAGTCGTCATGTTTGGACAGACTAATTTTCGAAAATTTGTCAAAGCTGCGATAGTTGGGGAAGTGGTTCTCTGTTTGGGAGCATACAGAGTTTGGCATCAGATGAACACTAGCAGAGGTACGGGTAATGCTTGTAACATCTTAAAAGCGTTGGTCAACACACAAAACTCTGAGAAGTTGTGGCAGTCGTCCCTCATGGCCGGCCGCAGTACTCACTTACTGGTTGATTATGAAAATTGATGAATTTTGTAGCGAGCCCATGCTACGGAGAAAACGAAATGCTACCTTTTCTCACGAAAAACCTTTTATCCCAACGAAATCCACAATGCACCAGTCATTTGAAACCCTTGCCCACCACCCTACCCCCCCCCACACACACACACACACCTCCCTTCTCGCTGGTGAACCCTTCTTGACTTTATATGTCCCCACACACAGTACTTCATATGTCAACTAGCGGCTATTGTGATATATGTAAAACCCCCAATGAAGGTTTCAAATGAGTCAGTGAGCCACCTTAACCCTAACCCTAGCCTGAGTCATACCACTTAGAAAACAAGGTTTCTCAGTCAGGTTCCATTCATCTTCTCCTTACTGCACTTTTCAAAAACATGCAAACTCTGAAGCTCACAATTACGTTTTTTGCTTCCGTCAATCATACAATGTAATTATGATCACAAGCAACAAACTTTGAAACACAGAAACACACAAAATGGATCAAAATCCACCAATCTCAAATCACAAACCATGACCTATTGAACCCGTTTAAGTAAACTTTTGTTTCCTAAGGGGTCCACTAAGGTGATCAACAGTAGTGAAAATAGCATTAAACGTCAGCTGGCGTTTGAACTTCAGAATTTGCATGTCTATGAAAAGCACAGTAAACCAGATTTACTTTTCTCTTCGTACCTCAGATGCTGCATCTTTACATCAGGTGGCTCATCCCTCCCTCCCTCCCTTCTCCCTGTTTATGTCATAGACCCATCTCTGATTAGCCTTTTGATATTCCTTTTATGGTGTAGAGATCCTGATAACTTGTTTTGTTTTGCATGTTACAGATTATAGAAAGTGGATGAATGAAAATTATCCATCCATACTAGAAGGTAAATATGGGGAGTCCACCTATAAAAAAGAATGACTACAGAGTCTAGCACCATCAACGGGTGTTTGGTAGATTTGGTGAGCATTATGGTTTATCAGTCCTCATCAAACTCAACTAAGTAACATACAGCGTGGTCTTGGTTGCCTTGGTTCATGGTCTTGGTTCAGAGTCATATCCACTCTGTGTCTTGGGTATGACCCAAGTTGTTGGAGAGGTTCATTTGACTTTTTGGCTACCTCACTGAATATCCTTTATCATAAGAGCTAGGAAAAGATTAATGTTGTTCTCCTCACACACCACTCACTGTGATGTGTAATCTTTCATTTTTCTATTTTTTCTTTTCAGCCTTTTACAAAACAGCAGAGATAGGTGGTTACACTGGAGCACGTGAGGCTGATGCAGAGGCCTGGGCCAAATAAACACCAAGTTGCGTGACTCTGGAGATGAGAAAACTGTTCACTCACCACCTGCCAGCAGCATCTATGTTTTATCAAATATAGAAGAGTTTCGTTGTAGGAGGAGTGAGTGAAAACTGAAACTGCAAAAACACTCAGTACCTAACCAGTACTAAATTGCAAACAGTCCCTTTTCGGTCACTCACGTCAAGGCTTAGCAGAACTGGAGACAGAGCACACTTGTGTCTTGTTCACTCACTTGTAGAATGCATGTATAATAATCATGAGACATCATACTTCAGTACCGGATCCAGACCTTGAGATAAGGGGGGCCTGGTCTCCTAAAAAATTTTTCTCAGCCCCTTGGGCCTCAGTTTGGACTAAAAATAAGGGGGAGCTGGGCCCCCCAGGGCCCTCCCCTGGATCCGCCATTGTGCTTTCATGTTCAACATAGAATCCTGTTTGGTACCAGAGTCAAGCAAGATGCAGAAGATGACTATTGCAAACCAGTGACACCATTTTCAAACAGGCTAGTGTCCTGTTATCATATATGATAATGTGCTTTGAACTTAAAAAAAAAAACAGTTATGACTGAAGTTCTATGTGCCATTTAAACTCACAGAAAATAATATTGATCGGTAAGAAATGCTAGAAATGATTGGCTGTGAAATAGTTCCAACATATGGCATAAGTTTGGAGTCCTCAAATAAAAGTACCAGGACCTCCCCCGATGAGTGGACATATGGAAGTACAGTGGGGCATATCTCTGTTTTATTCTGGAGTGACATGTTAGTTAGTGGTCTGGAGTATCGTAGTCCTGTGGCTTGTTCGAATGCAAAATAATAATCTCTAATAAAAACTCTAATAAGGCTGTAAAAGCTAATACGTAGTATACTTTCATTTCTTTTCATTTCCAAAGGTATAAAGTAGTTGAGGAGAACATCTCACGATCATTCAGTAGGATTTATCTTTCTGCGGAACCCCACTGAAAACCGCTAAGGCGAGTGGGCTCCCTGGATAAATATTATTATTATTACTATTATTATTATTATTATTCGAGTGTATTTTCATTCTGAAATCTCCACTGATTACAGGTCATTACTTTACTTGTCAGTAAATTAGTGTTCTGAAACTTCTCATTCGACTCTACGTTTGGAATGCAAAAACGATAAGTGCAATTATTTTATTCAGTTTTATCATATTCTGTAAATATTCGTTTCCCGACGCAATAAGTTTTCAGGGTTTGTAAAGCCATAATGGCAGTTGGATGGGAACAACAGAGGTGTGGTGGTGAAGAAATAAAAATATGGCAGCGGTGGTGGCCAACAGAAATGTGGATTGACTAGAATGAAAGAATGTTAGACTAGCTCCTGATTGATGAATGAGGGAAATGAACAGAAGAAAAAGAAACGTTTAGTTTGAAGATGCTAATAACATGTTCTATCTTTTTTTGTAGTTTGTTTCAAAAAGTGTGATTTTGACTTTAATATCAAACCTCTCTTGTAATACGGACACCTGGTTAATACAAACATATTCTGTGGTCTACCTCGCAGTTTCCGAAACCTCCATAGCTGTCTCTGGTATCCGTGTAACCAACATTAAAATAGCTGTTATTTTCATTTATTTCATCTATGTTTTATTTTCATCTATTGTTGCCTGATACAAGTGATTCTTGATTCCTCTGCTTTGCGGTAATTGTAGTACTTTTAGGAAGAAATTGATTGTCTTGTAAGCAAATAAGTAAATAAATATCCTGTCGCTGTAACCGTGACAGTTTGAGGGAGTTTATTCTTCCATTTATTTACTTTTAGTTTGTGTTCAGTGAACTATGAATATCTTACTAGAAGAGTGGAGTAGTATAGAAGGGATGTTTTAAACCCCTTTTCTGAAGCAGAATCTCATTAGTTTGAAATGGAATACATTTACCCCCATGACGTGATAGTCTTTTGTCTTTATCTCATGAATAAAATGCGAGTTGAATCCTTTAAAGATAAATTCAAATGCTATGCGACATGTGACCCTTCACTTAAGACATCGGCCAGACGCAGTTTCTTTGCATTACAATTGTTTGGTGCAATTCAGTGCTCCTTAGACAACGATTAGTTTGGGACTGCATGGGCTTAATTAAGGCGCGTAATATGTACTTCGCGCGTTTCTTAAGCGTACTAAGTATGCGCTGAATGGACATAAGATAAAACTCGTCATAAATTTGACAAAGAGGGCGCCTCTGCCTAACTCGTAGATTAAGTATTTAGGACATGAAAGCTAATAATCAACTTGAAATACTCTACCCGAATAAGTCTGTCAAAACATGTGTCATATAGTGCAAATTCTCTCTCACAAATTTAGGGCATTACTTTGCCATTTTATTTTATGTTGGACATACTCTACGATAAAAACAAAGGAGGAGAGACATGGATTTTTCTGGCTATTCAATCATTCCATGCAAGAAAGATATAGGACACTACCTGCCTATATGAGGCTACAGACTCCTTAAAAAGCATTATTGTTTACTCACTGTACTATTAAGTCCCCCCTTGGGCGGAGCACTTAGTCCCCAGGGCTCTCCCCCCTTGGGCGGAGCACTTAGTCCCCAGGGCTCTCCCCCCTTGGGCGGAGCACTTAGTCCCCAGGGCTCTCCCCCCTTGGGCGGAGCACTTAGTCCCCAGGGCTCTCCCCCCTTGGGCGGAGCACTTAGTCCCCAGGGCTCTCCCCCCTTGGGCGGAGCACTTAGTCCCCAGGGCTCTCCCCCCTTGGGCGGAGCACTTAGTCCCCAGGGCTTAATAAAATTAGAGACTTACCTTTTGCTTACGTAGCTTCTTCGTGTTTTATCTGTTGTGTGTTTTTTTGGTTTAAATTTGTTTTAATTTTTGTGTTTTTTCTTTGTATATTTACAAAACCAGATTGGATATGCAAATATATTTGTTAAACATTGTTTTTAACCCATAATTATGTCCAAGGAATGCAAAAGCATCTCTTAGAATAAATTATGGGTTATTTTTTTAGTAATAGCTGATAGATACCAATAATAATTACTTTCTAGTATAAAAACAATGTTAATATTTCTTACATTGCTTATGTCTAAGCTTGTCGGTATTCTTCGTGAACAGCAGGAGTAATCGTTTTATTTGGGGTACCAAACCTGCGGTGTCGTAAAGAGAAAAATTTTAAGATATCAAATTGGAAAAAGCAAAATGCTGCAAATGATCGGGAGAGAAGTCATAAATATTTTCCTTATCTGAATGCGTTGATGCAAAAAAAGAGCACTTACCACAGGTTTGGCATGTAAAAATAATCAATAACACAGACAAAGAAGTTAGCTGCAAGTTCCTGTTAAGGACGGTGGCAGTTTTAATATTTTATTGTTTATGAAGGCCTTCTATTGTGGTATTTCTTGTCGTTCGCGTGATTCTGTAAACCTGTAAAGAAATAACCTATTTTTAGCATGCGTTGTGAATACTACCATTTTAAATCATTTGTAATGGAAGTATTAATTTTTACTGTTTGGTGTAACTGTTTGTTTGTTTGTTTAAGATAGTTTTTTTCCCAAACCATTCCTTAGTCTTTCCTGACAATTGAATCGTCACGGAACAGTGTTTCACTGCTGTAATACTCTTCCGCCCCGAAATGCGGCCAAACGCTCTGCTCAGCGCAAAAATCTTAAGTTACCCGACAACGACTATGTAAAATTTTGAACATTATGATGGCAAAACCCAATTATAATTAGGTGAAGGACATTCGTTTTCAATCAATAAAAATTAACTTTATTCTTGATGACGTGAAATAAGACTTTTTAAATTCCCTTGATCGCTGATGAGAGGTTATGACAAAACATTGAGTAGTATTTGAACCCTGTATACATCTCTGTTTAAAACGACGAAGTAGAAATCAACTCATTTTGATTAACTTCAGCAATACAAATACCTGCTTAGCTAATTAAGCATCTTTAACTTTTTATACCGATGTCTAAACATTTTTCATTATTCACTCTTTTGTTATAAATTTGCGCTTAGGTTACACCAAGTAATCCTCATTCTTTAAAAACCACTAACCGAATTTTAAAAAACAAATTTTGAATATTTAAACAAAGTAGGTATCGTGTGAAAATTGATTGTCTCACAAAAATCCTCTGTTCAACTTTAATTTTCAGGTTTGACAAAAACTTTGCCAAATTTCGACAAATTCTAGTGAGTAGATTAATGAAAATATCGTCGTTTCTTGCCATTGGCTATATTTCTACAGACAACTGATCGGATGGCCACTTTTATCAGCTGGTACTCACATTTTTACAAGAAAATCCCATTGAAATCATGGGTGCTTACCATTTGACGGAAAATTTCGGAAATTCCGGATGGAAGGTAAATGGTAAGGTCACTTTTCGGAAATTCCAACCGAAAATTGAGGAGTACGTTTTGAGGTAGTCCTTTCATTCCGGTTGGTACGAACCAAACGGAATGTTGCTTACCATTAACCAATTTCTCGGTTCCTTCTCAGTTCCAGACTCACGCGACACAAATTTACCCTTTTTTTGGATTCAAACCATAACGGATATGGCATTTCTACGGTAAACTGGCAAATCGCTTACCATTATGCTTTCGACACCCCAACCGGATTTTTCTGTCAAATGGTAAGCACCCCATATCTACTCATAATGAATATGTTAACAGTAGGGGATAAAGTTATTTTATGGGGAGATTTTTACTTTAGATCACGTCCGCGCTGAAACGATTGCGTTAGATAAACTGTCTTCAGCTTGAAGCGTGGTTTTCCAGTTTTGTTAATGTAAGGCCTGAAAAGACTTTGTGTTCTGTTTTAGCGGGAGCGTGATATTATTTTATTTTCGATAGTAACTCCCAAATTTAACTAAAGCGCTCTCAATAGATCGTTTTCACTGTCACGCAACGAAAAAATAAATTGGAAACCATCCTGTGGAGGAAGCCAAGAAGATGAAATGTTATAAAAGACTAATATATAAACAGTTTGTCCAAGTCTCGGGTCCTTGTGGCCCACAGTTTGCGAGTTATTTGCCGAAACGTTTCACGCAACTTTGTAGAGCTTTGTATGGAGACGTCATATTGGTGGACCGCTTTGGTCCACCAATATGGCCGCCGGAAATCAACAAAAACATCTGGAGTTTACTTTTCCTTTAAAAGCTGTTTCTTTTCACTCAAGAACTAGCCGTACGTGCGTATAAACATGTCTTCTCATACTTAAAATCGTTATACTGCTGAAAATCAAGAGGAGAGGCTCTTTTTTCAACGAGACAGCATTCCTATTTTGATGT